GTGTGTGTGTGTGATTATTTATTTATTTTTACTATTGTAAAAATATAATGTTTGCCAGTTCAACATTTTTCAGGTATACAATTTAGTGATACCAGTTACATTAATCATTTTGTATAACCATCACTTATAGTCATCAAATTTCCCATCATCTGTGTATCTTCTTTCTTCTTCTCTTTCCTTACCAACTTTCTCTGCTACTCAGTTTCTGTAACAAAAGATGGCCCTGCCACAGTTTCTGTGTCTCCTCCGAGAGACCAAACTAGACTGGGATTGCGTGGCCTTACGTTCAGATTTCCTAGGAGAGAGATTCTGGCCTAGGTTAAGACAAGCAAACATCCTTAGCCCAGCTAATCATTTGAAGTCAAGGAAACAAACATGACTGCTCTGGGTACACCACTATGACTAGATCATTGTACATCAGAGTAGGGTATTTCCAGGGAAGGAGAATTGTTTGTTAGCTGAACAGACATTGTAAATGCTTAGTGGCACAGTGGTTAAGTGCTCGGCTACTAACCAAAATGTTGGTGGTTCGAACCCGCCAGTGGCTCCATGGGAGAAAAGACTTGGCGATCTGCTCCTGTAAAGATTACAGTCTAGGAAACCCTATGGGGTAGTTCTAGTCTGTCCTATAGGGTCTGTGTGAGTTGGGATCTACCTGATGGCACCTAACCTAATAACATATAAAGTGAAAGGATGTAGTGAGAGTAAGGAAGTGGGAAGAGTGAAAGATATTCCCATATTTCTGTATTGATTGGGTGCTGGTGCTGTTATTTGAATTCATATTTAGGAATGTTGATTTTGAAGTATCTGTGGAACATTGAGATGGAGATATCTAATAGGCAGTTATATATGTGGTCTTGGAGCTTGGGGAGAGGCTGAGGTTAGATATATTCTTTCGAGAATCATCCATTGGGGAAATGAATGAGATGAACTAGGGAGATCATGTGGACTGAGAGGATAAGAGGGCCACAGCTTCTTTTGGCAGGAGAGAAATAAAGATTTGTATAAGATACAAAGGAAAAAACCAAGAGGAGAGTTAAAAAAGAGGAGTGGTCAACAATGTCATGTGTAGATAAATAAGATGCACACTGAGAAATGGCCTTTGGATTTACTGGTTTGGAGGTTATGACCATCACTGAGAGCACTGTCTGTGAAGTGGTGAGATTAGAGCCAGACGCAGTGAGTTATTATTGAGTGGGAGGTGAAGAAATGAAGACAAATATAGACTACTCTTGAGCAGCTGGGAGAAAAAGAGACTGAAGAATGTTTATAGACTTCCGAGTAAGACACTGTAACAAAAGAGAAATCATAAAAAGTGGGTATAATTGATACAGCAAGATTTCTAAGCAGGTGGGAGAAGAAGGAATCAAGAGTCTAGGTAGGATAGATTTGATAAGCAAATTGTGATGTATACATACAAAGGAGTATTAGCCACAAAAAGGAGCAAAATACTGATGCCTGCTTCACCTGGGATGAACCTCAAACACATTATTCTAAGTGAAAGAAGCCAGACACAAAAGGTCACGTATTGTGTAGTTCCTTTTATATGATACCCAGAATTATCAGGTTCTTAGAGCAGATTCGTGGTTACCAGGGGATGAAGGAAAAGGGAGATGGGGATTGATTACTTAATAGTACACAGTATTTTTCTGGGGGGATGAAAAAATTTGGAAACTAGAGAGAGGTGGTGGTTGTGCAACATTGTGAATACACTAAATGTTGCTGAATTGTACACCTTAAAATAGTTAATTGCATGTTATATAATTCTTAGAAAAACAGCCTAGATAGAGGAATTGATTTTTGAACAGGAAGGAAGACACTTCTAAGGCCAGAGGTACAATCAGTACAAATAAAGGTAACTTTTTAAAGTGAGGTGGTGGACTTAAAAAGTTGAGATGTAGTTTAAGCCCCATGCCCTCTTTTTTCTCAGGGAAGTTGCGAATGTAGTCATCTGTTCAGAGTGAAAATTAGGTAAGGAGTTTATAGAAAGCCCAGTTTGAGGATGGGACAGAAACCTTAAGTAAAAGGATTGGCATTAATGTTGAAGGCCCAGCTAGGAATCTTCACACATAGCAGAAAACCTTCAGTTCATATCCAGTGTTTTTTCTTGTGAACTTTCAAGCCTGTCATCCATACTTAAGGAGTCTCCCAGTCCTGATTTCCTAGGTATCAGTATGTTTTCCCACCGTACAGACTTTCACTTTTCAGTCACCTGCCTCCTTTAATTTACAGGGGTTGTTCTATAGACCTCAAGAAACATACCTACCAAACTATCTTCCTTCAAACCAAACCTGTTGCTGTCAAGTGGATTCTGACTCATAGGGACCTTATAGGACAGAGTAGAACTGCCCCATAGGGTTTCCAAGGAGTGACCAGTGGATTTGAACTGTCGACCTTTTGGTTAGCAGCCGAGCTCTTAACTGCTGTGCCATAACCTGTGTGATTAATATCCCTTTCTTTCTTAAGCTTTTTTTTTTTTTTTGTTAGTCTTCTTTATATACTTAGTTGTCAATATTTTTTGTCATGCTTAATGTCACTGAAAATAGCCTCTAGCTCACTGTAAATAACTGCACGCGTGTGTGTGTGTTTAGTTCCCCTGGCTCGGCAGCCAGTTTATAGGGCACTCTAAAGGCTCCGCAGGTAAACAAGATGGTGTAGAAAGCAGGTGATTGAGAATGTTAATAACAAATGCTGTTTAAAAAAAGGGTTTACCTTTGGTCCCTTCCCCCCCTTTACTAAAGTATAATTCACGTACCATAAGATTCATCCAGTTAAAGTATAGAATTCCAGCCCCCTTCCTTTTTGCATTTATTTGTTTGCCTTTGATTACTTAAATTATTGCCTTGAAAGCTCTGAGACTAAGCACTGTGGAATGATTGTGAAAGAAGCATGACTTACCCTTTAGAATTGTATTTTAAGATCCTTTCAAGGAGCACAGACTCTGACCTTTTGAACAATTGTGTTCTTTAGAAATACATCTTCTTCCTACTTCTCTGGTTTCCTTTTATGTTTTCTAGATTTTTCAAGTGAAAAATCTAGGGGAAAGTAGAAAGAAAGACAAAGTTTTGTTTTCCTTGATCTTTATGTGTGATAGTTTCATATCAGTTATAATGAAAGTCTGCTCTCATGAAAAATACATGATTATAGAAAAACCTAATGATAATTGAAATACAGAATTCTGTCTTGGTCATGTTCCCTCTTAGTAAATGATGATGGTCTGACTTAATCGAATTCAGGCAGCTATTATAATATGAAATGAGGGATATTGGGTATCTGTTTCAGGTTCTAATACATACGAAGAGGCAGCTGCTTACATTCAGTGCCAGTTTGAAGATCTGAACCGAAGAAAAGATACCAAGGAGATCTACACTCACTTCACGTGTGCCACAGACACCAAGAATGTGCAGTTTGTTTTTGATGCTGTTACGGATGTTATCATTAAAAACAACTTAAAGGAATGTGGACTTTATTGAAGAGTGTAATGTTAGTAAAAGGTAAAACTTGGAACAATTTATAGTGTTACAGTGATGTCTGTTGGCCTTGTAAACTTTTTCTAATTAAGAGTATTCTTCTTTTCTAGTTATTACAGTGTGGAGTGTTGAGACCAGACTTCTTTGCTGTCTCATGGGACAGCTGCAAGCATGAACGGGACCAAGGAATGGCAGCAGCATGCAGAATCTTAGCATTCTTTAGCACAACCTTCTGTATTAGGGAACTTTTAATTGACACGAAATGATAAAGTCAGACATTGGAATTGGAGCAACTGTAAAATATGATTCGATCATCAAGCTGTCACTTGGATTTCATAATCTCAAATGTTAGGGCAGATGTGAAGTTGAGGTGCTGCATTCCAGAACTTCAATATGTGGCTTACTCTTTTTTTTCCTCCTTCTTAACAAACCACCAGTAGTTCCTTTTTAAAGTTTTTTTTTCATCAAGAGAATAACTTCGCTAAATTTTATTTCTTTGTTTGCAAAAGAATCTTTATTAAAACACAAACATTGTAAACTATGCACATGATGTGAACCAGATCATCTTGAAAATATTCCTCTTAGTAGGAACTCTTTGTTTTTAACTCTTGGTATGGTCAAAATACAATATTTCCCTAATTGCTTAAAATTCTTTCCAGTTCTTGGGGCTATAATTATAGCTTTTTTGGATGAAATGTACGTTACTATCCTGCTCAAAGTGCTATTATGGTTTCTAAACAGAAATTACACTGAAGGGTTCTGCAAGAAGATTCTAGCTCTTTTTTTTTTTTTCTTTAAGCTTGTGGTTGAAGATTAACCTGGTTTATGCTGATTACCAAATTACTAGATAAATACTGATACAGTATGATAAAGCCAGCTTCTTGGGTACAGACACCCAGAGCAGCTGCCAATTAGAAATGCAAATTGCTAAATTCCAAACCAACGACTTTGCTGCTACATAACTACTAAATTGACCGCTTTGATTCTTGTGTGTTTGTCTCAGTCATAGGGAATTTTGTAAAAGGTGCCCCTTGTTTTCCATCTTCCATGGCCTTTTCTGTTGGGAGACATCTAAAGTGTATTAACAGTGCATGCTTTGAATATGTAAATGTGGTGCCAAATCCCTGTTTGCCATTGTTTTTATTGTAACAATGTTAACTGTAGTAATTCTTAGTCAGTATGTTCTTTTGCTGAAACTGTTGCATTTTGGGACTTCTTTCCACTTTGTCATGTGTACAGATTTTAAACTGTTATAGTTGGCAGCAGTATTAAAATGGTGAGTAAAGAGTCCAGGTTTGCTCCTGTTTGTAACTAGTCCTTTCTGGAAGTATTTTCTTCTGTTCCTTCTCGCCCCTACTGAGTGTGCTTTAGCCTTTGTCTAAGAATGGATTTAGGTAGAAGGGTTCCCTGAAGGTCTAGTCCTTTGGTGTAATAGTATTGTTGAATCTTGGCCTAAGACTGAGGGTGTTCTGTCATATCTGTGTAAGTGATACGCAGTTGTAATCCATTTTCCAAATTTACGTTTTGTTGTGTGGAGAGCTATATTCACTTCAGCCTACAGGTCCTTTTGTGCGATGTACAGCAAATGTCATTAAATATTGAATGGTCTATTGGGGGAAGACAAAAGAATGCATTTTGAGCGTTTCAAAGCAGTAGTTTGAGCAGTGCCTTTTAGAGTCCAATCTTTTTGAGTTGGATTCTGTTTCATCTTTTGATGCAACTTTTCACTAGTTAGAAAAAAAACAACAATAGTTGATGGTCACCAAAGCTGCTTCATAAAGCAAGCCACGATAGTTCAGTGCCTTTATTGGTAATTTTTCTTTTCTTATTCTTTTTTTGGAAAAAGATAGCTATGCAGATGGTATAGCTGTATTATCTAACAAAAATTTTTTTAAGGGTGGGAAAACTTGATCTGAAAGAAAGAAAATTATACATTTCAGTTACTGACATGCCCAATAGGGTTGATAGTTCTTATTTGTTCATTTTGAGTATATCTTTTCCTTATTGCATTCTGTAATACAGGATCATCTGGAAATGAGAACTGGTGGAATATTGTTTTCAACTGTAGTCTTTCTATACTCTGGTCTAATGGAATGCTGTTGCTGATAATCCGAAATAACAGATAATCCAAAAAAGTTAATTTTACTTTGAAATGCATTTTGTATTTTCATTTGAATATGTACATCTGGTATGTTCATTGTTTCAGCCCTTCTTTAATGAAAAATAGTAGTTCTCTCTACACAATTTACATTTGCTCTATATTTATATGAAGACCATCCCTACCCCACCATCCCAAATAACTTACCTGAATGCCCATTACTTGAGGACACAGGGAGGCAGTTTAAGTCAGTGGTTCTCAAATATGACAAGTCAGAATCACCTGGACGCATCTCGGAGATTGATTCTTGGCTGGTGGGCTTGCAGGCTATATATAATTTTTTAAAGATGATTCTGATCATCAGCCAGGTTTGCAAATCCCTAATTTATATTTTGAAATAAAAGATCTTATAGCAGAGCCAGAATGTGAGGATGAAATGTCAAATCTACTAGCCTGGTTTCAGAAAAGGCTTTGATGTTTATAGTCAAAGAGGCTAAAAGCTGCCTTGGATATTTTCTGTGGATAATGCTGGAGATTTGTGATGAATAATGTTTTCAGAATTCAAGTGGCCAGCTGTTGGACCATCTAAGAAGTCAGCACATCCAAAGAAATGAAAGTTTAATGAATAAAGAACAGTAAATAGACCCTTACAGGAAAGACTGCAACAATAGCTTTGTTTTGTTGACCATGACATCTTTTCCACCTGATTAAAACCTTGGGCCATAAAGTTGCCACCCATTGGCCTCTATGTGGAGCCCTGGGGCGCAGTGGTTAGGACTCAGCTGCTAACCAAAAGGTCAGCAGTTCGAATCCACCATCTGCTCCTTGGAAACCCCGTGGAGCAGTTCTACTCTGTCCTGTAGGGTCACTATGAGTCGGAATCAACTTGAGGGCAGTGGGTTTGGTCTCGGGTTTTTTAGTCTGTATGTAGAGAGGAATTATTCTGTCCTTAACAGCCAATCTTCCCTAAGCTTATAGATTCAACCTTGCAATAGATTTCACCTTTTGGCATGAAAATTGCAAGAATCTTTACGGTTATTTAAACATAGCTCTTGAGATGACATTTTCATCTTGGAGAATTTGAATTCTAAATCTCTAGTTCAGTGTATCATTTTATGATTATTTCACTGATGGATTGTTATTTTTCACAAGGTGCTGCTTATTTCTGTAAGAATAGATTAACCAAATTTTTGGAAAATGATTTTCTTGCCTTGTTTATTTTTTATTCTTGTTTGTATTCTATTTGTGTTTTATTATATGCACGTTTTGGAGTATTTAAAAAAACTGCTAGTCCTTCTAATTCATTCACTCACCTTATGTTCTTATGTCCTGTTCTCTTTTGTAGCTGTGATTTTCTATGGACATTTGCTTAATGCTTGGTCTGTTCAGTCACTTCATGTATTTATCCACTTGCTTAGTATTTGTGTCAAATTTCTGGGGTTTCCTGTTGCAGGACTTCTTGTTGTCTTGTCTCGGCAGTTGCGTATTTAAAGTCAGTCTCTTATGGCAGTTAACAGTCTGCCTTTGATTCTTTTTCTTCTAGGTGTTCAAGAAATCACAATCCTCATTTGTGCAGATCTCCAATAGCACTCATTTCCTTCAGTGTTAACTAGTTTTGAAATCTTTCTTTGTCATACATAATACTTTAGGAACAAAGTTATCTTGGTTTTCCAGTACTGCCAGGTAATTAGGCTTCATAGTACAAGTGAGAGTTCTGATCGGCTCCAGCCAGGGCTCTTCACATAGCTTTATGGCCGTCATATTTTGTTAAATTGCCTCCAGCAAGCACAAGAGAAAAGCAGGCTGCCTAGAGGCCTGACTTGCTATCCACTACCAGGAAGTAAGAGGTTTAGGGAGGCACTGGAGAACTGACTTCCAGGATGGTCGAAGTCTTTGTTCTTTTATCTTTCTTTAGTTTTTAAAAATATTTTCTTTTTCACAGTTTTCTCATTACCCTTTAAGAGTTGCTTCTGCTGAGGATGGCATACTTCAGAAAAAGTCTGGATAGAACACTTTTTTCTGGTACCATGTAAGGGCTGTGCTGGCCTGACTCAACTCTTCTCAGAAATAAGAGATAGTAGGGAATGTTATACAGCACCGCACACCTGGGTGTTTAACAGCAAGTTTATAGTTTAACAAATACAGACTCCCTGGCTAAGCCCTACTAAATTAGGATGTCTGAGACAAGTCTTGGAAATCTGTATTTTTAATAAATTCTTCACGTGGTTCTGATGCAGCCAACCTGAGTCATCTGGGGGTAACTGAATAGGACCTAATATTAGAGATCAGCACATACTAAAAATCACTTCAGTGGACAGATAACCTCAAAATCACTAGTAAATGACTTAGTGAGTGGTTTTTATTTGCCAATAAGAAGAGCACCTTTTGTACATGATTTAGTTAAGGTGCATTCCACCAAAAAAATTAGTATGAAGGCTGTTTGGTTAAAGAAACGTATCTACATTTTAATTGCAAAGTCGTTAGTTTTTATACAAAAGACAAAACAAGAAACTTGGGGGTCTCTAAACATTTATTTTTATTCCGTTTATTTCACTGCATTTATTTATGTAGTGAAAATTGAAAGATAACACATACCACATTAAAGAATCCTGTGACAAGTGACTGTATATGTAATAATATGATTATTCATTTATAATTGGTGATAAAGAGCAAAGCTGGCTCCCCCTATAGAATGGAAATCTTTGAGAGAGGGCTTAGGAAAGGGTAGCAAAGGGAAGTGATTGAAGAGTCAAATATAAAAGTCTTTGTATGCCCTAGTGCGCATGGTTTCTCTTCCTGAAATCTAGTGGGAATCAAGGTAGGAAAAATAATCAAATACTAGTAAATATACTGCTGGAACACACTGTCTATGTGTTAGCATTCTCTAAGTCTGTAAGAGCTTTGGCAGCTAGAATGTTACATCCTCTACAACCTGGTTTACATAGCTCCTCCTAACCTCTACTCCCCTCCCCCATACTCCTTTGGTTTTCCAGACGGTTTTAAGAGGCTTGTTTACATGTAAGATTCCCAGTAGACATAACAAAATCCCAGAAGTTACCTGTTCTTTCTGACTGTGCAGTCTTGCTCATGTAGGATAAAGTTCCTGAGACCTTGCAGAATCTTACGAGGTTGGAGTGTTGTTTGGAGTGCTGGGTTCTGGTGTTTTTTCTCCTTCCAACAGGTTATCAAATCTTGTGCAGGTCACTTTTCAGTCTTACCTCCCTCATCTGTTACCTCATGATGGGCTAAATTATTACTTCCAGCTATGATTTTCTATGGTTCTGATCAAATAGAAATAATGTATTTGAAAGTGCTTTGTAAATGTTCTTTAAGATACTCAGCATTATGCTACACTGCAGAAAAGCAATCTCCTAAGGCAACACCAACAAATGTATTCATTATAGCGGGTTATCTTTTCTCAGCATCACTTTCCCCGTATTCGTTTGGAAGATCTGAAATGAAGTTCAACTATAAATTGCTGTAAATTTTGTGAAGCAAGTTTAAAAAGTCTTTGTTTTGCATTTAAATCAGTTTATTATCTTCTGTTCATATGAGTGCTTGCTTTTTCATAGCCAAAAGGTAGAAAAGCTCCCTTCTGCTCCAGTGTATTTGTTTGCCCTCATACAATGTCTTAACACTTTTACCTAGCAGGACCACCAGAGGCTCTAGCACACTTGCAGTCCTTGGCCTGACACTGAAGTCTTGCTGGAATCTGTGCTCTGGGGGCTGTGCCGGGTAGAGAGGGCAGTGGGAGGTAAGAGCTCTTCACCCTTCACCACCTTCTCCACCCAGCATGGCCGGCACACTTTGGTCTACGGTACATCTCCAAGTGTAGAGTGGCTTTTGGATGCTGTTATGTTTCATCTTGGGGGGTGGGGAGGAAGAGGGAAATACCTGATTCAGACTATTTGGGATACATGTAAGCAAATTTTATTATCAGAGTAGGAACTGTTACAAGTAAATGCATGTTTTATAATGCTTTTAAGACTGAATTTTTGTGCTCCATCCTCTTATCCACAGAAACATAAAAGCAAGTTTCCAATTATATTGAATTTTTATTTTTAAACAATCATCAGATTTATATGAAATGGAACCTAACTCACATTTGGTTTGCTGTCAGCAGTGTCTCTGTATGCAATGCTAGGGAACTTCATTACCGTCTCTGCCCTCTAAGGACATGACCAGGAAATTAATACCTTCAACAAACTCTTTATTTTATATTTTTGAGATTTCCTGCTAATTTCACATTCCACTTTGAGAACTATTTGTGTGTGGTTCAGAGATGGTTTTGTTAAATGTCTATGATTTAGAGATGGCATAGTAACTGAAGAGTAACTAAGAATTTGGGCATGTGAGAAGCTTAAGAAAATGGGAAATTGAATTTGACTGTCTAGTGTATGGTGGGCTGTTGGTAGCATGATGTATATAGAAAGACCACTGACTTTGGATTCAGAAGACCTGTTTTGGAGTTTTAGTTCTGTTTCTTTCTAGCAGTGTGATCTTAATGAAGATACTCCACCTTCCTGGGCCTCTGTTTCCTGTTTGTAAATTGCTTGTGATGGACCTGGCATGTTTTTAAGTTCCTTCTAGTTTTATCATTCCGAGGATTAAGATTGCAGTTCAAGAAAATAGGTTGACTATTTGTTTCTGACCTGCCTTGTTATAAAATTTCTGATGGCTTATAAAAGTATATAAAATTCACCTGTACAGTAGAAATTTAAAATGAGTCAAAAGAAGAGAGAGAAGGACAGCAGAATATATGGCTTAATACTTATTTAAAGTTTTCTAGTGCTGTTGTATGAAAAATTTTCATGCATATAATCAAAATGTCCATGAGATAAATAAGCAAGCCAGTTGTGCAGGAAAAATACAAATGCACTTGGTCTTTAGCTCTAACAGTATAAGATTTGGGAATGATCTGTGGGCCTGGCAAACAATTAAGCAGGGATGAGAGTTAACACCTTTTTTGGAAGCCTATCAAGAGCGTTTGTGATGAAGTCTTCTTACCTTTACTCAGAGGGAAGCCCAGTCTGGTCCAGAAGTTTCAGAAAATGTTTTTACTTTTTTCTAGGGTACAAGTGAATGGGTGACCCAATTTTATTTCTTATAGCCTCATTAGAAGAGTTTTAGCTTGAAAATGTTATAAGATTTATGTAACCAGACCCTAACCTCAGTCAAAATAAAACCTCAGTAAATGCTGGATTAAAGCAGTTGTTGGAGTCGCTGGGTGGTGCAAACGGTTAAGTGCTCAGCTACTAACTGAAAGGTTAGCAGTTCAAACCCACCTAGAAGCATCTCAGAAGAAAGGCCTGGTAATCTACTTTTGAAAGATCGCAGCCATTGAAAACCCTATGGAGCACAGTTCTACGTTGACACACATGGCGTTGCCATGAATTGGAATTGACTTGATGGCAACTGGTTTGGTTTTTAATGTGTGTGTTTTTTTTTTTTGTAAAGCAGCTGTAGAACAGGTAGCTTTAAGCACTGCAGCTTCCCCATTCATTTTCCAAGATAAACTTTTTGCAAAGTGTTCATAAAAGGTGGCTTGCATGAATTTGTTTATAAACCATTTAAAAATTGGGGCGTTTACCGGAGAAAAAGGGGAGGACTGAAACACAACCTTATTTTATTCTGCTAAAGATTTTCAGTTGTTCCGCCAGAAGTCCTGTCCCACTGGCTCTGCTTTCATGCCAGTACTATAGGACAGGTTCTGTAAGAACGTCACAGGGAGCCTGTGGTAAGCTTTTATAGTTTGGCCCATAGCCAGTTCCTACCCAGATTCAAAGACCAAGGAAAAGTTAATAAAAGAAGCAAACAATCTGGTACAATGTGGGGAGAAGTGGAGCTATTTGAAGATGGAATAAGCGGGATAAATGATATTTGGGGACTGAGCAGATAAGATCATACCTGTATCAAGGGTTCTTAACCTGGGGCTTCAGAACTCCAAAGAGTATGGGTAGAATTTTATCCGATGTCTTGGATAAAGGGCTTTATAATTATTTATAATTATAAAGGGCTTTATAATTTCCCTTTATAATTCTCTAAAGTTTATTTTATGCATTTTAAAATACCTGAGAACACATCCAAAGGTTTCAGAACTCCAAAGAGTAACCTGGGGCTTCAGAACTCCAAAGAGTATGGGTAGAATTATAATTATTTATAATTATAAAGGGCTTTATAATTATTTATAATTATAAAGGGCTTTATAATGTCCCTTTATAATTCTCTAAAGTTTATTTTATGCATTTTAAAATACCTGAGAACACATCCAAAGGTTTCATCAGACTGCCAGAGGGATCCCTGATACAAGAAGACTCAGAACCTGCTGCATGTAGAGTTAAAGTAAACAGGTTACTGATGGTTGGAGCAGGCCATTCAAAGCAATCCCTGAACATCTGTTGGAGGCAAGAAATCTTGCCCAGATTTTTTCTTTGGCCTAAGTTTTTTAATCGGCAGTAGCCAGAGAACTTTGCCTTATTTCTCTGATAATTCTGCTCCCAAGTTGGTTCTTTTCAGGGAATAAGCAAGACTATTAAATTAATCCAGTTTTAACAGCTGCAAATTTATTCTTCAGTGTATTTCAAGCTTATATAGCTCTCCAGTATCAATATTGCTAGTAGCAGCCTACGTGTGAATATGTGTTTCTGGCAAGGAGCAGGCTTTCGTTTTAACTGACACTTTCTTTTATATACTGTACTATATCTTGGATGCCAAGAGCTTTCCTCACTAGTGGTTGTAAATGCTAAATTTGTACTTGACTTTACCACCTCCTGTCAAGATATATGCAAGCTTCCTTTCTGTGCAGAGGAGCTCAAAGGAATAATTGTTGGCCTGATTGGGGAGATGTTATTTGTTTTCTGCCAGCATTACATAAACCCAACTGCAAAGATTTTCAGTGCCTAAAGCAAAATCAGCTGCCTTTTTTGTTCTCCTGGAACATGCAGCAGTTGAAATGAGAATTTTAGGATTGTTTGCTTGTCCTAAATTCTATGATAGAGAAGTGGCAGCAGTAAAATCATTAATACTCTAAGTGGGAGTGTGTTGATGTCTTCCAAGTTTATTGAGAAAGTATCTTACATTGCTGAGAAAGTTATTTACAGAAATAAAGGAAACTCAAGTCTTTTTGGCAGCTGAGGGGGCAAAGGGATGATCTGTGCTTAATAAAGATGATCATTTTTGGATGTGTGCCTTAGAAACTAACAAACTCCCAGTGATCCAGATCTCTGAGCTAATGCATAGAGGCCTGTTAGTAAAAAGGGGGTGGTAGGTTTATTGAGATCTTGGGGGGTTTTTTGCAGAGGGTAGGGAAGGTTTGCTGTTTTGCTTGGAAGATGTTCCCTGGGATAGTTTATTCTAAAAACTGGGTGTTGAATTGTATACATGGCAGTTTTTATATGGGATTTCTTTCTGACTCTTTAACCATAGCAGCTTTTACGTGCTCTCCTTTCAGTTATGTTTGTGATCCTCAGAAAAACCCTGTGACGTAGGTAGGGAAGTTATCTTCATTTTATAGTTGATGAGGGACTTGAGGCTCAGAGAAATGAAGTAAAGTATTTACATTTCTGCAGGAAGTTGCAGAGCCAATATTGGAACCTGGGTCTTCTGACTCCTGGCCTTATGTTCTTTAAACTGCACTATCTTTCTCACTTTGAAAAGAATGTATGAGTCACAGTTGCAATCATGCATATTCCATCTCTAAGGGAGAATGAATTCATTCTTTGTGTCATGGTATATTGACCTCTAATATTCTGCTTGAAATCGCCAAAATTTCAAGCCTGTTGATAAAATGTATACCTGAGGAATGGTGAGGATTAGAAGAGCCCGCAGTCCTTGAGATTTTCTTTGATGATAATGTCAGTAACTGCATCAAACACAAATTTGACATTCTGCGTGTCTGTAGCACAGGTCATGTGACTGTAGATTTCTTTGACATCTTTTCGCATATTGAGGTCAAGGAACTGGCTCTTGATATAATTCCCTGCATCCTCAAAAGAGTTGTTCCCTGGTTTTCCAGAAAAATAGTGAAGAGGTGGGATAAATTAACCCTTCTTATTTGCTCACTTACTATTTAGGAGACTGACTTGATTCTCAGAATGTTGTGTTAGACAACTGCAGTTGGGGCCTATTTTTGGAGGGAACAGGGTTCTCTCCTCTCTTGCACTCCAGTGTTTCTCACCTGAGCTGAGCAAAGAAATTGAGGAGAGAGATCTATCTCGGCCTTTGCCCTTGGTTTCATTTGAATAGTCAGTGGCTTTTCTGCAACAAATAGGTGCTCTATTCCAGAGACATCTGAATTTAAACCCTCTAACTTAATGCCCAGCTTTCTCCCTTAAGGCAACTTCCTTTATGTCTCCTTGGCATAGGAAATGAGGCAATTGCCAGTCACTACTAAAAAGCATCACCATCATCTCTGGCCCTAGACACTTACCGTCATAATCTGGAAAACAAATGCTAAGGTGCACTTTCTTGATTTTTTCCTCAAAGAGGTCCTTCTTGTTGAGAAAGAGGACAATGGAAGTTGCCGCAAAGAACTTATGGTTACATATACTGTTGAACAGGTGCAAAGACTCATGCATACGATTCTAGAAGAGAGAGAACCATTAGAAACATCAGACTGGGAGTATGGGCTGTCTGTTTCCTGTTCGTGTTCCCCATGGAGAGACCAGTGCTCCAGATGTAAAAGGAAAGACAGGGAACAGCTTACCCATTTTTAATGTGCTGGAGTAAAGCCAAAGGAGCCCTGGTGGTGCAGTGGTTACGTGCTCGGCTGCTAACAGAAAGGTCAGAGGTTTGAACCCACCAGCCACTCCATGGGAGAAAGATGTGGCAGTCTGCTTCCATAAAGATTACAGCCTTGGAAACCCTGTGGGGGCAGTGCTGCTCTGTCCTTTAGGGTTGCTGTAAGTCAGAATTGACTTGATGGCAGCAGGTTTGATTTGGTTCGGTTTTGGAGTAGAGCCAATATTTGTTTCATATTAATAACTGTGACTTGGGAAAAATCATTGTGCTTTTCTGAAACTTAGTTTCCCTATCTCATAGGGTTATTAGGAAAGTTAAATCGATCATATACGTACAGTGCCCGTGATAATGCCTGGCATAAAAAACAAAAGCAAAACCTGTTGGTGTCGAGTTGATTCCAACTCATAGCGACTCGATAGGACAGGGTAGAGCCACCCCATAGGGTTTCTAAGGCTGTAATCTTTACAGAAACAGATTGCCACATCTTTCTCCCACAGAGTGGCTGGTAGGTTTGAACTGCCAGCAGCTAAGTGCTTAACCACTGCACCACCAGGGCTTCTTGGCTGGCAAATAGGTGTACGATAAGAGTTATGGAGATCTTGGCAGCTAGTGCACAGCTGAGGACTGACATAAGTGCTGCTGATATGGGGTTGAATCTGGGCACCAGTTAGCATATGCTCATTTGCAGCTCCAGAATGATAGGCTTCTTTTGTGGCGTCCCAGGCGTCAGTTTGGGTAGGAACATGATAGGGATACATTGGCCCTGGCGCCACATGATGAGGGCTAGAGAATTTCCTAGTGCCACATCACAGGCACTTCTGCTCCCTTATTTTCTCTGATTGCCACTCTGAGAGAGTGAGAAATGATGTTACGTATATGCAGAGTCTGGAGCAGTGCCCCAGCCCATCCTGTTTTTAGGAAGCAGTCTTTCAGGGTCTTGAAGTATGCTATCAGCTGACTTGAGGTCAGTATTTTCATCTGATAAAGCAGGAAAACAAATCTAATTTGTATCCTTTTCTCACTGTTAGTACTTCTTTAAGACCTTGTAGACTTCAGGGTTAAAGACAGCAGAGATCTTGGAAAGTGACTAGCCCCATAAGACATTTTGGTTGGAAGATATATTCAGAGCGCTCTAATATGAACTTGAACTACTAAGGAGAAGGGAAAAGAACCCGAGCAGAGGATGAGGATAGGAACTTTGTCTTCCATCAGTAAGCTATGGGCCTTCATTTAAGGAACAGATGCTTATGTGAAATTAGCATTTTCCACGCCTTTGACATCTCAAACTCAGAGAAAGAAACTGGCTGGGTTCTGACATTGTTCTGCAGAGCTTCTGTCTTGTAGAACTCTACAGGCTCAAGAGAACCACTCTCAGGGAGTCCTTTAGCTGCCAATTTAATTGGCATGTGAGAAACCTGGTCTGCCAGTCTCTCCCTAACTGTTGACATGTTTTCAGGCTTCTAAGTGAGGTTAGTAGTTCAACCCTTCTATTATGTTACATAAAGATACACATCATACATTGTTTTCTCTACCATTTTAATCTCCTGTCCTTTATTTCCGTAGGCAGCCTGGGAGAGTACTAAGTATAACTCCTTTGTTTTGCATAGTTGATGATCCCTTATCTCTTTAGTACTTGATTTCTCTTATGAGCTTTTCGATGTCCTAGTGATACTTGGACGTCTAATCTGAGACCAAGTTCACTCTCAGAAAATCTGGAGCTCAAAGTGCTAACCCAGAACCTGGGTAAGAGATTTTTCTAGAATTATTTGCATGAGATAATGATTCGTCTGCTAGAGGACTACTAGAGTGTCAGTGTTAGCTGAAATCACCCAAGTTGGGGCATTGGAGTGACACGAGGCTTAGAGGAAAAGGTCACGAGGAGAACTTGTTCTACCAAAACTGGTTGGTTTAAAGGCCACTTACCACCTCGTCGTCTTCCACCAGCACCATATCATAGGCACTGAGGGCCGCACAGAAAATGATGCAGGTGACTCCCTCAAAGCAGTGGATCCACTTCTTTCTCTCTGATCTCTGCCCTCCCACATCAAACATCCTGAGGGAAGAAGCAGCTGTTCTCATAGGTATGCCCAACTTATTACCCACATGTCTTTGGTGTCCAGCCCAGGGAGGTGGTCACCTTGGGGCCAGTTAGCAGTAAGATGGGAAGTGGGGAGGCAAGAGGGAGAAGTGGGAGAGTAATTCAGGTTGGGCCTCAGCAAAGGCCAAGGAGCGTGCCCATCCCCCTTTTTGGGATTCCATGTGTGTGTCTAGGGTGCCCTAGGGAACCGTGTGCTCACCTGAAGTTCAAGTCTTTGACTGAAAACTTGGTTTCAATGATGCCTGTGGTTTTCACTCTGGACCGCAGCACATCTTGCTCATTAGGAAGGTAGTCAGGAGCTGTAATCCGGTCTAACTGGTTCAGGTAGCTAAAGAACAAGTGATTTGCATAGATGACATTAAATTTTCCACACCCAAGGCCAAAAGAAGTAAAGGGTTTTACTCAATGCCATACAACTAATTTGGAGATAGAAACAGGACCGGAATCTCTATTACTATGTCTGGGATTCAAACCCTCATGTGTCCTTATAAAAGGACATAAGGGATAAGCTGGGGGACAAACCCATTTGGGGTGGGAGTTTTATCCCATTTCAGTCAAATCAGTTGATTTTTCCTTGGGTTTAGCCGGACTGCAAGCTTATTTAGACACTTGAATGAGATGTAGTGGTTCAAATGGTAGCCAAAAGTTCCATCAAGAGGCAGGAGTAGATTAAAAGAGAGACATGAACCAAATGCAATCCATGGACCTTGTTTGTATCCGGAAGCAAATAGGGGAGAAAACATGAGATAATTGGGGAAATTTGATCACTGACTTCGTTATTTGATGGTATCAAGAAATTATTGAATGTTTAGGCTTTTTTAAAAAGAACCCTGTTTTTTTAGAGATACAAAATGAAATATTTAAAGTGAAATGATATCTGGGACTTGCCTCAAAATAAGCCAGTGGAGAATGGAGGTAAAATGAAACAAGAGTGGCCATGAGTTGGTAACTGTTGAAGCTCGATGACTGATTATATTATTCTACTTTTGTATATGTGTGAAAATTACGATAAAAAAGTTAAAAAAGGCAGGAGGAAGACAGATGTGAAGGGAAGGGAAGGGAAATTAACACGAGTGCCCTACAGTATGCCAGGCATTTTCACATTTAAATTCTTATTTAACGCTTATAAGCCTTGAAGTTTTATATCTCCATTTTACAGATGAAGGAGAAATTCAGAAGACTTAAACAACTTGCCCAGGGTCAAGAGGCAGTTTGGTGTATTGAAAAAAATATACAGCTTTGTGGTCAAACAGACCTGGATTCAAATTTAGCCTCTGCCACTTATCTATATGACCTCGGGCAAGTTAATTAACTTCTCTGAGCCTCAGTTTTTCATCTGTAAAATGAGGGTAATAAAAGTACTATCTAACTTGTGCAGATTAAATGAGATGGTGTATGCACTGCACCTAGCAGTGACTGGGCCTTAGTGAGTGAGTAGGAATAGTAAATGATAGCATTATTATAAATTTAGGTGGCCAAACGGGTAAACTCAGGTCTGTCTGACTCCAAAGCCCATGCCTGCCCACTGTACCATGGCCGAACAGGGTTAAACTCAGGTCTGTCTGACTCCAAAGCCCATGCCTGCCCGCTGTACCATGGTATCTGAGGTAGGGTTGATGAACTGTATGTCCCTTATCATTTTGGAACCAGCTTTGCAATGTTGGTTCTTCCTTTTGTTTGCCCTGGCAGTTTGTATGACCCCCCTGCCCTGACACCCTGTGGGTGAAGGGTAGTTTTGTTTCTGGTTAATGGCTTAAATAGAGCTTGAGTTACCAGCTAGAAAATTCAGCCCTAAAAGGGCCATCATGGATAACATGCCTCCTGGAAGAGTGTGTGGCAGAACTACAGGGGTAGTTCCTGGTTCTGAAAGGAGAGTCTTAAGTGTATGGCATTATTAAGAGGACAGGGACTGAGGGCTACTAGACAGTGCATGTCTATTTACAGTTTTGCTTTGTCAGCTGCAGTCAGCCTGTGTACGACAATACAGAGTGGGGGGAACTGTGGCACATGTCCCTGTCTAAAGGCATTAAATTCAAACATAGTAAAACACTGCTCAAGGCTAACAAGGCAGGCTCAATTCATTCCAGGAGTCTCCAACTTTCATTGTCCAAAATTCTAGGCTGGGTGAGATTTCTCCTGGCAGGTTGCTTAAGCCTTATCCCACCCACTCCCCAGCCAGAGTCTTACTAAGATGCGGAGTCATTGAGCTGGTACTCTGCAGCTCTGTCGAAGCAGGCTTGCACCCCACCATCCTTCCACAACTTCCTAATGACCTCCACCAGCTCAGGAGGCATGGTGCCTTCCTCAGTGGAGTCAGCCAGGTTGTTGAGCTGTCTCCCATCATCCTGTAAAGCAGAAACCTGGCTGAGAACTACACAGGGGTAATGGCTGTCTGGAAGGCTTCTAGGGGAGACTGCTGAATGGAAAGCATTTTGCATTGCTCCCAAAGCCTAAGATGGAGGCAGTCTCCAGTGAAGATTCTATACTAGGAAAACATACTGGTTAATTTTTGAGTTGTGCTCCGAGATACAGAGGGTGGCACTATATCCAGCCCTGGGATGCCCAGCAGATAGTAAAGGTCCCAAGTGCTTCCTCTCTGGTGTTTCTGTCTTCCATCCATTGTCCAAAAATTTACCTCCACAAAACAGGGTCCTCGGCTGCAGGGAGATTGGATGTTGAAAGACCAGACTGATGATGAAATAGAGAAGATGGAAGGCAGGAACCCATCACCTTTGTTGTCTCGATACAAATCTAAGAAAAGGCCCATACTGGAACTGGGCACTTAGCTTGTAAAAGTTCCATGGCCAGGGCACAGAGCCCAAGAGGAGTAGTAAAATAAGACAAAAAGGCAGAGGAAGCTGAGAGCAGATTTTGTATAAATATTTATTATAAAGGTATTGCTGTTGTTAAGTGCCCATCGAGTCAATTTTTGATTCATAGTGACCCCATGTGACAGAAAAGAACTGTCCTATAGGGTTTTCTAGGCTGTAATCTTTACAGGAGCAGGTTGCCAGGTCTTTCTCCCACAGAGCTGTTGTGCCACCTCCCTGCCCCCACAAAAATCCGTGGCTGTCGAGTTGATTCCAACTCATAGTGACTCTAAAGAACAGGGTAGAACTGCCCCATAGGGTTTCCAAGGAGTGGCTGGTGGATTTGAACTGCTGACCTTTTGGTTAGCAGCCAAGCTCTTAAACCTCTTTGCCACCAGGGCTCTTTTATTATAAAGGTAGGAGCTGCTTACTTCTCCAGGACAAAATAAAAAGATTTGAAGCTCAGCAGGTGGGATTTTAGTTACACAAAAATCTTTCCTCTTAGCTTGTTGGCCTCTGGTCTGTTTCTTCTCATTAGCCTTTCCTGCTTCCACCCTTAACCACATACGTTAACCACATACCGCATGGCTTTGTTCAGCATAGTCAATGCCCAGTGTGGACATGGCCCGGATGATAGCCAGGATGGACTGCAGCACATTCCCATATATGATGGACTTGAACTCTAGGCATTCTTCTGGTGAATAACCGTCCTGGTGAATGATCCTGCAAGGGGCAGACACCCAGTCCTCATTTGCACCTGAGTAACTAGACCTAGGAAACCCTGGTGGTGTGTTAGTTAAAAGCTACGATGCTAACCAAAAGGTTGGCAGTTCGAATCCACCAGGTGCTCCTTAGAAACCATATGGGGCAGTTCTACTCTGTCCTGTAGGGCCACTATGAGTCAGAATCAACTCAACGGCACCGGGTTTGGTTTTTGTTTTTTAACTAGACCTAAGGTGTTGGGAGTTTGGGGATTTAAAGGGTCATAAGAACTCTTTCTATTCCTATTGCTATCCCAAAGTGGAGGGTAAGGCAAGGCAAGGAACATGCAGATAGGAGTATTGGGAATCAGATCATTTATATTTTTTACATTTGGATTCCTTAATGCTAAAAAACCTTTCACCCTTAGTACCACCACTGGTACCACTGACTTCTTCACCCTACCCTAGTCCTTTAGGGTTTTGGTCCTACTCACTTCATCTGTTTGACGATAGTGCTCTTTCCTGACTCCCCAGCACCTAAAGGGAAAAATGCTTATGTTTCACATTTCCACCAGCTCTCCCCGACCCCCCACTAGATGGCCTTTGAGAAATCTTAGCCACTGCTTGGTTGGGAGCCTTGTTAAGATAGAACACAGCAGTAACTGCTGTTCTCAATTTCTGGCAGCCTTGAGCTCAGACCTTTCAACCCGGATTTAGAGCAGGGTTTCTCGACCTTGGCACTATTGACATTTTGGGCTGGATAATCCTTTTTTGTGGGGTAGCTATTTTGTGCACTATAGGATATTTAGCAGCATTCCTGACCTCTGCCCACCAAAGGCTAATAGCACCCCTCTTCAGCTGTGACAATCAAAAATGTCTCTGGACATTGTCAAATCCCCACTGGGCAGGGGTGGGGGGAATCTCCTCCTGCTGAGATAGATTCAGGGGAATTCCTTTAACATGTTTCTCCTTTCTGCCCATTTCTGACTGAGGAGAGTTATCTTAGGGCAGGATTGAAGAGAGCTGGGTCATTTCACTGAAATACATTTTCATCATCTTGCCAGTTTTCTGTATTAACTCATTCACACTCCACTCTCCTCCATCAAAAGACCTATGTATCCTTCACCCATTTCCCTCACAGTCTGTCCCACTGTGATGCCTCAGCCGTCTCCCACTTAGCCTGTGCTTGTTCCTTCTAAAACTGCTTATCCTGATCCTAGAAGAAAGCTGCTTAGTCTTAAGAGATCTCTCAGTGAGCCTGCCATCCTCAGTTTTCCCCTCCTGGGCTCCCTGGAGTCTGGGCCAAGCTTACAGAGGTAAGCTCCTTTAGTGTGTCCTTAGGGGGTTGTGCAACAGATCAGCTGAGGGAAAAGAGGTGCTCTAGTTCCCAGGCTTATGGGTTTCTGCTACATAGAGCCCATCTGCCTCAAGCTAGCCTACCTCTGCAGTAACATTACTTTTTTTTTTCCCCTAAGCCACGTGTCCCAGACTTTTCCTTGTCTTGGTTCTATTTACAGCCATGATCAGTTTCTCAGACTAATCGACTGAGATACTTTTCTTGGCACAGACCAGTGATCTGCTTAGGAGCTCATCAAGTTGATGAACTTCCCATCTGGCAGGAGCTTTAGAGGAAGCTACTGAATACAAAGCCAGGAAGGTGCTGCTGATGATAAAAGACTCCATTCCTCCCCTCTCAGGGTTCCCTACTTCCAAAGTTTTTATTCCTCTAAAAGCAAGGAGAAGGAACCATATAGCACTAGTTATATTTTGGGACTTCTGAGTCCATTGGTGAGGGAAGGTCCTGTGCTCTTCTGATTCATTGGCTTAGAGTTCTCTGACTGCAGGTGGGGTAAGTATCTGCAACCCAAGGTTCTCAGTATTTGTCAAGAGAAGGTGTTAAATTTGGTTAGATTTGGAGGTGGGTGCATTTACCCTGGCTATTGCACTATTCCTGGTTCAAGGAAGGGCAGAAAAATTCCACAGTAGCATTGGCATTCTGGATCACCTTGGTGTGGCTGTGCAGATCCCATATCAACTCAGCCTTAGGGCTCCTAACCTCCTAGCCTGAGCCTGGATAGGGGAGAGGAAAAATGAACTACCACCCCTCCTCCCCACGGGGTGAGCTGGAACCCACCTACCATCCAGGATAAGCAGGAAGGAACAGTGTCTCCTTCTCTGGCTCATCTTCCCATCTTGCTCACCCAGCAATAGCAGCTTGACCGTCTTGGCTTCCTCGTCAGCGTCCTCTTGCAGCTTCTTTTCTAGCTCTTTGGACCTCTTGGCCAGTTCTTTGTCCTCAGCACTGGCTCCACTCCCCATCCTTCTGTTGTCTCCTTGGCTGCTTCCTCTGGCTCTTAAGCTTCTCTTCTACTGTTTCTTATCTGTGAGATGGAAGACAAGGAAAAAATAAATCAGGATGAAGTATCAGCTCCTTAGCCCTCCTAAAAGCTGGTCTGTGTGGGGCTGGTGAGGGAACAGGCTATACTCTGAGCAGTTCCTGTACCCTGACTACCTTGGCTGAGACTCCCCACCCCAACTGGAAACCTACTTCTTAGCCTAGGGATTGTAGCCTTTATATCCAGCAGTGTGATGGGTTAAGCTAATTAAGAGCTCAGTATGACAAAGGGCAAAGACTCAAATGTTTGTGTAACTAAAGAAATGGTCTGCTAGGTTTTGACACAGAAGGCTAGGATGGGGGTGCTAGGCCTCTCTGGAGTAAGATAAGGGCTGCCCCATCCTTTTGAGGGGCTCAGTCCCTAAAAGTCTCCTTCCTTGGATTCACTTCCATCTTAGACCTGGAAGTTAGGGACAGAAACATAAGAAGCACTCCCCTTGTTGAGCCCTACAGATTACAGGGTCTTGGTTTCAAGGTTTCATCCATTACAGCAAGATGGTCTTGGCAAAAGATTTTTGTTTTGGGTGGTGCCCTTCCTTGGAAAGATTGGAAATGTTTTCCTTGGCTCCCCCAGCTGCTGCTCCAGGAAGCTATTAACATTGTTCCTTTGTGTTTGCTCATCTCTTTGTACATACTTCTGTTATTAGCACTTATTACTTCATATTGTACTTTGTTTACAAATCTGTTTCCCTGCGGACTCTGAATTCCACCCCTTGGATATCAGGGATCAAATCAATTCATCATTCAGTCCCTTAGACCTTGTGATTTGTTAGTGGGTCCTCAATAAAGGTTTGGTGAATGAATGTGGGAAAGTAGGGTATGTGGTAGATAATGGGACTGCTTCCCCTGGGCCCACTAAAGCCACTTGAGGCCCAACTTCACTTGGTAACAAACTTTGCTGGTATTTGTGCTGCCTGATATAACAAACTTTGCTTCCTTGAGAAATTAGACGCCAATCTCTGGATTCTCTGAGGCTGGGGCAGCTCTCCCTCTGGTCCTCATCTCAGCTGCTTCTTCTTTGGGAGAAATGAGAGTGCAGTCTAGCATTTGCCTCAGACATAGAACACTCCACTACTCATGTTTCTCTATGCCAATTATTTCAGTTTACTTAAATGAGTGAGTCTTGGTGGTGGAGTCTAGTCTTCCTCAGATGGAAATACTTTTGAACTTTGCTACCCAAAATGTGGTCCAAGGACTAGCAATATTAGATCATCTGGCAGCTTGTTAGAAATCCAGAAGCTCAGGCCTTAACCCAGACCTTCTGATTCAGAATCAGGTCCCAAGTGACCCAGGTGATTCGTAAAGACATTAAAGGTCAGGAAGCACTGCCTTAGGGAACTGTTCTTTCCCTAAACTTACCTAATCATAAGAATCACCCGAGATGCTTCTGTATTTCATCAAATTTTAGATGCCACTGAATGGAAGATGCACCCTGGCTTCAAAGATGTTAAAATGTACACATACATATGTATTCTTTTAAAGGTATGTTTTAGAATCAATAAATTCTGATAACAATACTGATTCCAGAGCCCGAGAAACTGTATTTTTAACTAATATGGGTGATTATCGACATCTGGCAAGTTTGAAAAACCCTGACTTAGAACTGTGGTTCTCAACTTTTGGTGTACCTTGGAATTTCCCTGGGGAGGTTTTTTTTTTTTTTTTTTTTTTTTTTTTTTTTTTTTTTTTTTTTTTTTTTTAATATTTTATTGTACTTCAGGTGAAGGCTTACAGAACAGATAGTTTCTCATGTAACAGTAACACACATGCTGTTTTATGACATTGGTTAACAACCTTCCCTGGGGAGTTTTTTAAAAAAATATACTGATTTAATTGGTCTGGAGTACAGTCCAGGCATGGGGATTTTTAAATTTCCTTGAGTGATTCTAATGTGCAGTCAAGGTAGAGAACCTCTGAGCTAGAAAGATTTAATTTGCTTCTCCCTTTTATAGTGGGATTTGTGCAGCAATGGCCATCTGGACTAAGAAACTGGGAGGCAGAACCTAGTCTCCCACCTACCAGGTACCGGGAACCATCGCTAATCATCTTCCTCCTCCCCACTGCCTTTCAGCCTAATATCTGTGTATCTGGCCAAGAAGCCCCAGGCCTGCAGCCTAGAGGCTCAGGGTTGATAAGAGAAATAGGCAGCTGCTGAGGTGCATTCCACGGTGATCAAATTTTCCCAATCAGAAATTGGCAAGTGCTTATTGGCTTAAGGGAAAATAGGAGTCAATTTGAAATTGTGACTGTCTTGGAATCCTGGCTATAAGGTTTCAGTAATTATACCTGACCACCAGCCCTGGCCAGAGCCTACCCACGTTATTGGTAACTTAAACTTGAGCTAGAGCTGTGCTCAAGTCTGCACTGTTCAAAGCAAGGAACCACCAGGCACCATGCTAGACAATTTATATGGATCATATCAGTTAATTCTCACAACTCTAAGGTAAGTGCTAGTGTCCCCAGTTTACAGACCAGACAACTGAGGCTTCAGTGTTAAGTAACTTGTTCAAGGTCCTATAGGTTAGTGAACAGACAAACCAAGTTTGTCTGGTTCCCAGGGAGGTAGTCTTTCCACTACGCACCCACCCCGAACCCCCACCCCATAAGCAGCCAGTGAGAGGAAAAACACTTGGGCAAAAAAGAGACAGGCAAATGCATGAGCTCAATTGCAGCAGCACTTGCATTGTTAAAGGAACTGCTAACTTGTGTCACAGACAGGGAGAATGTTTGAAGTTGTTCCGTTTTCAGCTACCACCTGTGCAAACTTTAGTGTTGCTTCTGCTTCGTTTCCTAGCTTGCTGGGTGAAAGTTCCCCATTCTCACTACTAAATAAGGGAACTCCTGGCAGTAGCCTGACCTCTGAGAGCACAGACCCACTAGTATGCATCCACCACCCTGATGTCAATGCCCTCCTGCCTCTGGTCTTCAGCTTCGGTGCCTTTCCTACGGCTGGTCCACTTTCCTCTCCCAGGAGAAGAGGCTTTTCTTTCTTTTTTTTTTTTTTTAAATCTGTGAATTTGTGTAGTCTGACTCTTCAGTTTTCAAAGCACTTTTGTATCTATTATATTTGGGGACAGCGTCCTGGTAAAGTAGGTAAGGCATGTAGGTGCTATTCCTATTTGAGAGCTAAGGGAACTGAAGCATGGAAAAGTGATCCCCATATTAATAAGCAAGTTAGTATCAGAATCAGAGCTACAGCTCATATGTCCTGGTTCATAGCCCTACAAGCCACATTTTGAGTGAAAAAGGGATCACCATTTCCCAATGAATTTGGTGGTGTTTTCTTGAGTTGAGGGGAGATCTCAGGATCTCTCTTATATCTAGTGGTAGGGATTGTGGGTAAGCCTTGTCCCAGGTGGAGTGGGGAGCATGTGAAGAATGAGGAGCTGCCTTCAGGACCTTCCAGTCCAAAGGAGGAGGTGGAGTAAATTCACAAGAAACAATTTGGCTAAAGGAACACTGTGCCAGTGCTGGGAAATTCAGAGCTGTTTGAAACCTAGTCTTCATCCCTGGTAGGAAAGACAATTATGCACACATCTAGCTGTCAGACTGATGAGTTCTACAGTAGAAGAAAAGAGGGAGTAATTGTACAATGAACAGAATTTCAACAGGCAGGAAACAGAAAAGCAACAGAAATGGAGGATAGGCATTTGGGGGACAGGAAAGAGCATGAAAAAAGGCATGGAGGCACGAGGTATAAAATGTGCTCAGAGAAGAGTGAAAGGTGCATGGAGGAGAAGGGTGGGAGATGAGGACAGGAAAGAGACATTGGGGCCAGCCAGTGAAGGGCCTTGAATGACAAGCTAAGGGGCTTGGCTAAAATCCAATGGGGATTCATAAACCAGTACGATGGATACAGCTACATGGTGCTATAAACACAACGCCAAGTGGTGGAGGTGTGTGTGGAGGCGGGGGGCGGGGGGATGCGGTGGAGGAACAGGTGGGGTTGGCTGTTGGGATAAGCTGAGAAACGAGCAAAACAGCTTGGTTGAAATAACTGCTTTGAGGAGAGAGGAAAAACCCGGCTTAATGGAGAGGTGGGGCTCTTCTGTGACTCTAGGCCTGAGTAGCCTTGGCTGTAAGGTGGACTTGAACCTGTGAGAATCGGGACAGAATTTGGTAGGCTAGGGCCTAGAGGGATCTAGGCATAGGGTATGGTTTGGGAAATTGCCCTGGCGGAGGAATGAAGCTGCAGGTATTCTCTCCCAAGTCCAACATCTCCAGAGAGTCATCTGGCCTAGGTAGGAGGCTGACATCACAAGTGAGCTGCAGGCCAGAAGAGGAGAAGCAGTTCTTTGGAGAAACTGGAGTGCATCCACAGAAGGGCCTGGCATTCTAGGAGGTCCATTTAAGGAGCTCTCTAGGGGATAGGACAGGAGGGGAGGAAGCTGTGCATACAGCTCTAAAGCAGGCTGTAAGGCAATAGTCAGGCCCCAGCATGAAAAAAGATGGAAGCCATAGAGGATGACTCACTCCTTCATTTCCAAAGATCTGTTCTACATAGACAATGAAACCCCACTGAGATTCTTGCTGGTGGTGAGTAGGTAGGGAGATTGGTGCTTCGCTATAATCAGGGCAGACCTCCTAGCTGTGACAACACACTGGATGGCCTGGAAATTGGGAAGGGTTATAAGGTGCTGCAGTTGGGACTAGGGAGGAGCACATACTGAACAGTGAACCAACTTGCCTGAGTAGGACACAGGATAAGGATTGCCATCTATTGCCTGGTTAGGTTAGGTCGGTAGTAGGTCTTGGATTAAGGCGGGGATCCTAAGGAGGCCTGGCCCGGTGCAAAATAACCACCCCTTAAAACCATCCAAATTTGCATTTTAGCAGAATATAGATGACATTCTACATGGTTACGTGGTGCTTGATTTTTAATTTTGAGATTTATTATTCATTGTTTAGAACCCAATGGCCTCAAAATTCCTATGGGACCCAAGACCAATTTAGGGGGTTATATTAAGAATAGCTTACTTTTAACTATGGAGTTAAGATGGGGGTTGGGGATAATGGTGTGTGTGTGTGGAGACTATTACAGGCTTTTATAGACTTTGGTTTTCCTTCCCCTTGATTATAAAAGTAATGGATATGCACTCTAGACAGATTTTTAAATGCAGATAAATGTAAAGAAGAAAATAAATATAACCCATAATTTTATCAAAGATAATAATTTATACATGTTTGGCATCTTTTCTATGGAGATATATATCTATATACATATATACACACATGTATATTTATTATGCAATATATAATATACAATAATATATATATTGTATAATTAGGACCATACTATATAGTTTTGCATCCATTTATATTGTCAATATTTCCACATCATTAAAAAACTCTTCAAGACTAATTTTTAATGGCTATATTTCATTGTATGCATATAACATAATTTAAACATCTCCCTATTGTTGAAACTTTGAGTTTCCAGTCTTCCTGTGTGATAAACATTGCAGTGATGAACAACTTGGTTCATACATATTTTTCTGCCAGCTTTTTTTTTTTTAGAGCAATTTTTTAAGGTCAAATAATATAAACCTTTTTAAGACTCTTGATTACATATTGCAAAATGGCTTTCAGGAAGATTATATCAATGTTTATACCCACCAGTAGTATAAGTGTGTGCCCCATCTCACTAATGTTCTAGTGTAAAAATATCACAAAATTTAGTAAAACAAAAAGAAAAGTTTTATTCGGCATATATTAAAAGAGGCAAAAGTAGGAAACAGACAACCATGTTGCTAGAGCCGTGTCTACCCAAGTCTGAGGAAAAATTACAGAATAAGCAGAAGTGAGAAAAACGGACAATCATGGTGCTAGAGCTGTGTCTGCCCGAGTTCTGAGGAACCTTACAAAATCTTTAGTATATATTAACATTACAAATGGGCAAAACCATTGAAAGCTTCACCGTTTCACAGATTGGTTAGAAACTGTTAAATCTCTGTAATCCTACGTTTTGAATTGTCTTTCTTAACAGTCATTGCTACAGGTTTCAGTAATGACAGTCAGGGGCGTCTTCATTGGTCCAACAAATCTTACTATTCACTAAATGCTAATAGAAAAAGATAAGAGTGGAAAGTATGTGGGTCTTTTGTGCAGTGTTGTATGATTTGTTTATGTGAAAATTTCCTTAAAACATGTTTTCCAAGACCGTCCTAGCTATTGTCTTTATACCTCAGGGCCTAGTTGATGTGTCCTTGTGAGTCCAGCTCCAGTTGGGTCACATTCTAGGACTGGGAATAATGGCTCCAATATTATCTCCTAAATTATGTTGTAGGGTAAAAACATCACAAAGTTTAGTAAAGCAAAAAGAAAGTTTTATTTGGCATGCAGTCAAAGAGGCAAAAGCAGGAAACAAGCATGCTGCCAGAGCCGTGTCTGCCTGAATCCAAGGAAATTACAGAATAGACAAAAGTAGGGAAATGGACAAGCATGCTGCTAGAGCCATGTCTGCCCGAGTAACAGGGAAGAATGAGAAAATGGACAAGCATGCTGCCACAGCCATGTCTGCCCGAGTCCAAAGATTACAGCACAGGCAAGAATGGAAAACGGACAACCATGCTGCCAGGGCCATGTCTGCTCAAGTCCGAGGAACCTTACGGAATCGTCAGTATATATTAACATTACAAATGGGCAAAACCATTGAAAGCTTCACCTTTTCACAGACTGGCTAGAAACTGCCAAATCTTCTTCATAATCCTACATTTTGAATTGTCTTGCTTAACCATCATTGGTACGGGTTTCTGTAACAACAGTCAGGAGGGTCTTCATTGGTCCAACAAATCTTACTATTCAATAAATGCTTATTTGAGTCTTTTGTGCTCTTTTTATGATTTGTTTATGTGAAAGGTTCCCTAAAAGATATTTTCCAAGATTGTCCTAGCTATTGTCTTTATACCTCAGGGCCCAGTTGATGTGTCCTTGTGAGTCCAGCTCCAGCTGGGTCACATTTTAGGACAGGGAATAATGATTCCAACATTATCTCCTAAATCAGTCACTAACTATACCCTTGCTTGCATTTGGATTATCTTTTTCTTAATCCTTGCTAATTTGATAGGCAAAACATAGCATTTCTTTGTTTTCTTTTTCGTTTTATTGATTCCTTGTGAGGTGAATATATTTTTTCCATGTTTATGGAGGCCATGGATTTTTGTTTGTCAGAGGTGAGGAACAATAGGCAGAGGATCAATGGAGGCAGTGCTAGATGCAGGTAGAGAACAGGGGTCAGGGTCCAGAACGCAGCCAGGTGGGGGAGGCAGAGTTTGGGAAGGACTTCGGCTATGGGGGTAGTGAGAACCGGGAGGAGCTGGACAAAGGGCATTAGTAAAAATAGGTGTGGGGGGCAAAGGACTCTCACAAGCAGGAATTATATTTCAGTGAAGTCTTACGAATTTAACCCCTCCTCATGCAAGTTCCCTTTAGGTAGGCTTTTCTGCCGCTTGCGGGTGGGGGTGCTGGTTGGATGGAGTATCCGCAGCTCCCAAAATAGTCCAACTTCACTTCTTTATAGGCTGTAAGATGAATCAACCTGTGAGTGTGTCCATAGGGAACCAAGGCTTACGAAATGACAGTGATAATAACTACAGGCCAGGCACTGTTCTGAGCACTTTAGATGTATTACCTCATTTATGTTAATAATCACCAGATACTTACACTCATTTTATAGGCAAAATGAGAGCACAGAGAAGTAACTTGCCCAATGTCAGTCAAGCACTAAGTGGAGGAGCCTGGATTTGAACCCAGGCAATTTGGCTACAGAGCCTAGGCTCTTAACCACCAAATATAGAAATAAATGTGGAAAGGGGAGCCAGAATTGCAGGGCACACCTTGCCTAGCTACGCCTGTCAGAAAAAAAATGGATGACCTAGGGCGGGAATGCTGGGCTACTACTTCTGCTTAAAGTGAATCCTGGGCTAATAGCTATCTTTTATTGGGCGCTTTGTCCCAGACCCTGTGCAAATGGGCTTTATGTTTAATCCTCACAATACCCCTTTGAGTGAGGTACTATCATCATCCCATCCCATCTTACTGATGAGGAAGCTGACACACGGAAAGTTTAGGGACTTGCCCAAGACCCAGGGCCCAAGTCTCAAGTCCACTGTGGCGCGGTGGCTGCCCACATGGCTCCAGGAAGAGAAAAATGGCGGGGGCGGGGCCGGGCTGGCCTGCAGGGGGCGGTCCGAGCGGGGGCGGGGCCTGGGGCGGCAAAAACCAGCTAGGCGCCGGCGGGCTTTTGGTGGGGTGGTACCTGTTGCGTGACTCCCCCGCGCAGTCCATCTACTGGGTCCGGCTCTTGGATACCCGGGGAGTGTTGAGAAGCCTGGACGAGTGTCGGGTCCCGCTCCCTGGGGAGCACGTGGTTTGCTCGCCTCTGTTGCGGGGCTGGGGTCCTGGACTCCCGGGCTCCCGAGGCCATTCCAGCCGCCGAGGTCGGCCGGGATCCGCTTCCTGCTAGCTGACAATTTCGAAAGGCTGCTCTACTTCTCCCACCTCAGTGCCAGAGCAGGGGCCCTCGGAGGGACTTGACGGGGGTCTGGGCCCCGGACCCCCTTCTCCTTCGTGACCCAGGCTTCCCGGTTCCGCAGACCCTCGCGGGGAGCTTCCTCGGTGCCCCTTGGGGTTTGGGCAGCATGGCTTCAGGTGAGTGTGTGTGCGTGTGTTGGGAGGACGGTCTCTGGGACAGAGAAGTGCAGTGGTCAGGGTGACAGGAGGTTGGGGTCTCAGCACAGCCTGCAGGACCTAGGGAAGCCATCAGCTCCTCCTGGGGAGGGTTTAGGGAAGGAGCGCCAGAGTGTGGAAAGATAGAGGGAAAAGACAGAAGAAGCTGCGGTCTCTTTTCCAGACCCCCAGACAAGCCTCCTCCTCCTGCCTTCCTAGAGGGTAGCTTCTGCCCGACAATGGAATTTTCCCAAGACTGGGCCCTGCTTACTGGGCTGAGATTCTCCGTTCTACCCACATCCTCCTCCCGAGCTGGGCTACCCGTGGAGCTGGGGGTCAGATAGAGAAGAAAAAAAGAGGGTTCTGCCCCAGAGGGGCCAGGTTTTCACAGAGGAGTGCCCCAGTCGCCTGCCCTGAGAGGAACGTGTTCTGGGCTCGGAGGCTGGATTCCTGTTTATTACTTTTTTCTCTCGGGCTGGCTGGACCAGCCAACCTGGACTTTGGCTCCTTTGCCCCGGAGCCCTGTCAAGGGGTGAGGGTTCCTAAGGGGCTTGTAGAGAGCTGGGGACTGGCCCTTCCTCGTCTTGTTTTCTCTGCTCCCCTCCCCCTTCCCGCCCCCGATCCCATCACCAGCAGTCACGTCACTCCAGGAATTGAGCAGGGGTGAGGAGCCGAGGGATAAGGGGCGGGATGGAGGCCCCATTCCCCGAGGTTGCCTAGACAACATCAAAAAATCGTAGCCAGGGCCTCTTCCGCCCGCCGGGCCTCTGCTTCCTGCATCAGTCACTCCCGCTGGGGGCGGGGCGGAGGAAGGGGTTGGATGTGGCAAAGCGAGGCTCCGCCCGGAGCCGCTCAGGCTCCCCCCACCTCTTGTCGCCGCGGCCCCAGCCATGGCATCCTATCCATCTGGCCCCAGCAAGCCCAAGGCCAAGTATCCCTTTAAGAAGCGGGGCAGCCCTCAGGCCTCCGCCACAGTACCAGGTGAGTCTGCTTCCCGGCCATCAGGCACTGCTCTCCCTTCCACCTCTATCCTAGACCACTGGCCCCTCAGAGAGGTGTTCCCTTTCTCCGGTACCCTCTCTGCAGAGGTGCCTCAGCCGGCTTGGAAGGTCGTGTGGATAGGATGGTGGGGTGGGGGGGGTGACTGAGGTTTCTATATGGAGGATGCTGCCCTCTGTAACAAGGAGTGGGCATGGGTGTAGCAAGAGGTGTGTTTGCACACGTGTCAGTGTGTGAATGTGCTGAGACTTTGCGTGTGGAGTGTGTGTGAATGGAGTAAGGGTGTGTGGGGACCGGCTGGCGTGCGGACTGGCCACACCAGCTGGCGGCTGTGCCTTCCGAGGCAGGCTCAGGCTTTCTCTGCAGCTAGCTCCTCTTTTTAGGACCCCAGACCCAGAACCTCCTGGCTGGGGGTCTGACATTAGGGCACACCATTGCTGATGGGCATCCTGGAGCTGGGGAGCTCAGCTGTGTGGCTGTATGGTTTGCTCGTTCCTGGTCTGTGGATGAGCCTCCTCAGGAGGATGGGGTTCTGTGAGTCAGGCTCGTGTGGGGGTTCAGACGGGGGCTGCTGCTGCTGTGCTGCGTGCGCTCCTGCACCCTTAGGTTTGGCTTCCACTCTGGGAGCATCTCTGCACCATTGGAAGCATCTCTGCACCATTTGGAGCAGGCAGCGTGGTGTGGCGGTGATCTCTGTGAGGGCTCAGTTGCCTGGGTATGTGCCTGCTGAGGGATGTCGGCCTTCCACCTGGTTCCTCCAGGCCCATGTGGCTGAGGAAGGACCCACCCCAACTTTGGCGACCAGGTCAAGCCCACCTCTTCAGCAGCTGTGTGCACCTATAGCTTGAGCATCCCCCATCTGTATTTTGTATGCCATTGAACATGCCTGGCCTGAGGCCTGTACTGTCCTGAGGGTCAGTGTTCTCTGTGCCCAGGTCTGTGCCATCCAAAGGGTGTGTCCTCTGGGGCTAGGTCTATACCAGTTGCTGAACCAGAGACCTTGGGTGAGAGCTTCTGATACTCTTCAGCGTAGCCTTGGGCACCTCCCTGCCTATAAGGCATTCTTGGCAGTGAGGGGCTCCTGGTCAAGGTGGGAGACGGGGTGGCCAGAATCTTGGAGTTGGTGGGAGTGGCTAGGGAGTAGCTGTGCATGGACTGGTAGGGTTGGGTCCCCCTCTGGCCCTTGGTTGACCCTCTCCCTGTGTGATTGTGAGTGTAGGAGTGTATGTGTGTGTGGTGCTGTGGCCAGGAACCTCCAGCACAGGAACCAGGAAAAGAGACCCAGCTGGCAGCTGAGTCTTCTAGGCCCTGGCCCCACAGAGTGTGGAGATTACCAACCTAGTGCCATGGTAGGTTGGTGGAAGGCTCTGACTGTTAAAACCTGTCCTTGTCATCCACATGATAGTTGTGGGGCCCCAGGCCTCCCCACTGGGAGAGGGGGTTGAGATTAGGGCCTTCAGCTCCCATCTTGCTGACCCAACACAGACCAGCCTTGAGGTCTGTGGTCTGCCTCCCCTTCAGGGGGTTGGAAGTGGCCTGGGGCTATATTTGGGAAGGAGGTATGTACAATCAGGGTTCTTAGGGAAGCAAGGACCTTAGGCTCGGCCTGACACCCTGGGTGCAGGACTGTTGTTATTAGGTGCCATGGAGTCGGTTCCAGCTCATAGTGACCCTGTGTACAACAGAAAAAAACACTGCTCGGTCCTGCATCATCCTCACAATCATTGCTATGTTTGAGCCTATTGTTACAGCCACTGTGTCAGTCCATCTCGTTGAGGGTCTTCTTTTTTTTTCGTGTGTGTACCCTCTACTTTACCAAGCATGATGTCCTTCTCCAGGGACTGATCCCTCCTGCTAACATGTCCAAAGAACGTGGGGTGAAGTCTTGCTGTCCTCGCTTTTAAGGAGCATTTTGGCTGTACTTCTTCCAGGTCAGATTTGTTTGTTCTTTTGGCAGTCCGTGGTATATTCAATATTCTTCACCAACACCATAATTCAAAGGCATCAATTCTTCTTCAGTCTTCCTTATTCATAGTCCAGCTTGCTAATGCATATGAGGCGATTGAAAATACCATGGCTTGGGTCAGGCGCACCTTAGTCCTCAAAGTGACATCTTTGCTTTTTAACACTTTAAAGAAGTCTTTTGCAGCAGATTTGCCCAATACAATACATCATTTGATTTCTTGACTGCTGCTTCCGTGGGTGTTGATTGTGGATCCAAGTAAAATGAAATCCTTGACAACTGCAATTTTTCCTCCATTTATTGTGATGTTGCTTATTGGTCTAGCTGTGAGGATTTTTGTTTTCTTTATGTTGAGATGTAATCCATACTGAAGGCTGTAGTCTGATCTTCATCAGCAAGTGCTTCAAGTCCTCTTTGCTTTCAGCAAGCAAGGTTGTGTCATTTGTATATCGCAGGTTGTTAATGAGTCTCCAATCCTATTGCCAAGTTCTTCTTCATATAGTCCAGCTATATGAAGGGCAGGGGACGGGCCTATTTTTCTTCCTTTTCTAAGTAAGAGATAATGTCACCCCTCATCTCCTTCCCTGCCAAGTTCTCTTCTCTTCTCTGCCCTTCACTGTTCAGCTGCCTTGGCCCAGTGCTGGGCCCAGGGACACCCCTCCCAGTGGGTGAGGCTACATGTGGAAATTGTTTTGAGGGTCCCAAGAGTCTGTCATCACAGCCCCTTGCCTTGGCACCCTCCTGCAGTTTCAAGAACACTTGCAGAGCCCTTATCTCCCTGAGCCTCAGTTGGCTGTGGCCAGGCAGGGCAGGAACCGCTTATCACCTGGCATTTATAGAGGAGGACCTGAGACTTGCCTGTACGTGGGAACAGTCAGACTTGAGTCCTCCAATTCTTCCCGAACTCATCTTCTGGGCAATTTGTCCTGTCTTAGACGATAGGCTTGAGACAGGGCTTGGAGATCTAGGGGGCCATGTACCCACTCCCCAAGAAGCTGGGCAGTGGGAAAGCCTCCGTGACTAACTCCTACCTGACAAGGCCTCTGTTCCGGCTGCTAGCCAGCTCCTCTATCCAGCGGACTCCCCTGAGGGAGCCCCTCGGAAGGGGCCCAGAGGGCAGTGGTGGCAACATGGCCCCTAAGCAGAGCGAGCAGCCAGGGGCTGCTGAGTGTGGAGACAAGGAGTGCTGGTCTCTCCTTCCTTTTTCTCCTCTCCTACCCTTTGACCAGCCAGGCCCTGCTCGCTCTCTGTCTCCTAGGGCAGTCGATTTTAAGGAGCCTTGGCCCCTCCCTGCCAGCCTGCCCTGCCCGTATCAGCCTGCCCTGCTCTTCCCCCTGGGCGGCCCCACATTTGGCTGGGCCCTGGCACACGGTAGAGGTTAAGGCCCTGTTCAGTTCTGGGGTTCTTCTTATCTCCCTACTCTGATGTCCCTTCCCTGACTTCTGGGCCCCCCCTGGACTTCCCCAGCACCTTGCTCTTCTCTGCCATCCCAGGGTCTCCCCTGCCTGCAGCTGTACTTGGTACAGCCCGTGCCAGCCCCTGAGCTGTCCTGGGGGACTGGCTGCAGCTTCACACAGCAAGCAGGCAGGCAAGGGGCACAGGGCTGCTGGCTGCAGCTGCCTGAACTCTGCAGGTAGGGCCCAGGCAGGGACCAGAGTGAGGGGGAGTCTGGGTCCTGGATTTGGGACAGGCACCTTCTTCTTCCCCTTTGTCCATCTGGGGCACTGGACTCTGGAGTACTGGGAAATAGGCACAGAGACTTCAAGGTGCACTGCTGAGCAGAGCCCCTAGTCCTTTCCTAAGCCAGGGTGGAGACGGGAAGGGAGGGTGCTGGAGGGGAGCACCCCAGAGCTGGCTAGGAGAGCTAAGTTGGGTGTGGAGAGCTTCCTGCCAGGGAGGGTCCCTCAGGGTCGGCTGGTAGCTCAGGCATCCCCTACAGACTAGCAGCTCCAAGGCCTCTGATGCCAGCCTCCTCATGGTAGCTAAGGCCTTCTGCCCCTCAATGAAGAGAGATCCCTGGCTTCTGATACCCCTTCCCCAGAGCCCTTCCTGGGGCTTCTGGCCCAGATCCTGGGGCCTCTGAGTGGTGCAGCCTGTTTGTGGCAGCTCCCTTTGGAGGGGCAGCCAACAGTGGGAGGGGCAGGCTGGGGCCAGGCCACATCTTGGCAGCCCTGGGGTCCTGGGGGAGAGGGCAGGCCTCCTGGGAGGAGGCAGGGCTTCCGCTGCCAAACAGGTCCTCACTTCTCCTTCTTCCTGAGGGCTAGTCCCCAGATCAGAGCTGAGTGGCAGCTGGGATTGCCCCTGTGGTCTGTAGGTCTGGGATGTCAGGTCGGGGCCCTGCCTCTCTGGGTGGAGGGTCTGCTGATCCAGAGGCAGGTCTGATCCTGGCCTGCCTGCCCTGGAGCTGTGGGCTGGGGATCCCTGGTGTGGCCACCTGGTCCTTAATGAGCACCTGCTGTGTGTTTCTCTGTGTGTGCACACCCTGTGGAAGGCACTCACTTGGATGTTTTCATGGCCCGAGGGAGTGGGAGCTAGTCCAGGATTCAGGTTCTTATTCCTGGAGTGAATGAACTTACTTGTCCCAGGGCCAGACCCAGGGTCCCACTCGGAGCCTCAGGTGGGTGAGGTCCTGTGGGAGCCACATGGAGGCTCACTCCTCAGACTCTGAGGACCGACCGCCAGCTGTCTGGGCCCTCTCCGGCCTCCCCGTGGGGCTGGCCTGGGGTGGACAGGGGCCCAGGTGTTCCAGGGGTACCCTTGCCAGTGCCCAAACTCTGGCCCTCAACCCACTGGCCCTGGCATCGCTGTCCCCACAGAGGCCCGAGCTGGGCTGGGGGCCCCTCCACTGCAGTCCACCCGCTCCCTGCCGGGACCCACCCCCTGCCTCAAGCACTTCCCACTTGACCTGCGCACTTCTATGGATGGCAAATGCAAGGAGATTGCTGAGGTATCACCCAGAAGTGCCCCTTACTGCTGCCCCATGCCCTGCCTTTGCCCCAGTTGTTACCCACCCCAGCTGTCCCCCAGCACACCCTTGGCTGTCCCCGGTCCCCCACCTCTCCCAGGCACCTCCAGCCCCACTGCCCTCCCCCGTCCCCGGGCACTGCAGGGGAGGGCCCTGGGCGTGGACGCATGCTGACCCTCTCCCAGCCAGACGGGCTCCCTTCCCTCCCACCAGGAGCTGTTCAGCCGCTCGCTGGCTGAGAGTGAGCTCCGAAGTGCCCCCTATGAGTTCCCTGAGGAGAGCCCCATCGAGCAGCTGGAGGAGCGGCGCCAGCGCCTGGAGCGGCAGATCAGCCAGGATGTCAAGTGAGTCCCCCACCTAACCTCTGGAGTCTGCCAGGTGCCCGCAGGGCACTGTGGCCGGTTCAGGAGTCTACAGTTCAGGAGTCGACCGAGCCTTCCTCTGCTCCACTTGGTGGCTTTCAGAGCCCCTTCTCTGCCCCCTTTCCACCCAGGCCAGGCAGCACAGAGCAGTAGTTGGAAGCACAGGCTTTGGAGTCAGGCTGCGTCTGTTCTGGTTCTGTCTTTCTCCCCACCAGTGTGGCCTGAAACATACTACTTAACTTCTGGGTCTGTTTTCTTATCTCCAAAGTGGGGCCATAACAGCAGCCACAGCGCAGGGTTCTGTGTCTACGAGGATCACATGTACTGACCGTGAACAGCTCGGTGCCAGGGTAGCAAGGGCGGTCCCTGTTATCTGTCTGACCTTTCATCCCTCTCACCTCTAGGCTGGAACCAGACATCCTGCTTCGGGCCAAGCAAGACTTCCTGAAGACAGACAGTGACTCGGACCTACAGTGAGGAGGGTGGAGGGTGAGGGGAAGCTGAGGGGGGGGCCTTCCTGCTGCCGGCTGTAAGCTCCCCTTGCCCATCTCCCTGTGCAGGCTCTACAAGGAGCAGGGCGAGGGCCAGGGCGACCAGGGCCTGCGGGAGCGCGACGGGCTGATGGAGCGGGAATTCCAGCGGGTCACCATTTCTGGGGAGGAGAAGTGTGGGGTGAGTGTGGGGTGGGGGCTTGGGTCCCCATCCCCAGGTATTCCGGGGAGCTCAGCCTGCTGGGGGAGCTGGGGGCAGGGCGTGGGCAGGAGAAGGTATTTCTCTTTCCAAAAACTGGAGGGGCAGAGGGCCTGGCTGGGAGGTATTTGAGTGCGCTGGGACCTGACTGTCCAAGTGGGTCTGAGATCAGGGCCTGCGGGGGGTGGGGAGAGTGTGGGGAGGAGGTGAGTGCGTCTGGGTCTAGGGTCAGAGACTGAGGAGAGTGAGTCCCATCCTTGTCTCCAGGTGCCGTTCACAGACCTGTTAGACGCAGCCAAGAGTGTGGTGCGGGCCCTCTTCATCCGGGAGAAGTACATGGCCCTGTCGCTGCAGAGCTTCTGCCCCACCACCCGCCGGTACCTGCAGCAGCTGGCCGAGAAGCCTCTTGAGATCCGGACCTACGAGCAGGGTCCTGAGACCCCTGTGTCTGCCGGTGGGGCCCCCACCCCTGCTTCTGAGTGCCCTGGTCTCCCAGGGGCCCTGAGTTTGATGCCCGGGAACCTCTGTCCTGCTTGCTTCTTCTCCACCCAGGCTCCTCCCAGCCTCTTGGTGGTCCTGGGGGCGGGGGATGGAGGTAGGGGCAGAAGCTGCCCTGCTGTGGCCTTTGGCAACGCTCTCCCTCTTGGTGGTCTTTGGTGGGCAACGGGTGAGCAATTGGCCTCACCATGCTTTGGAAAGGTGGAGGAGGCCAGGAGAGCCCTGGCCCTGACTGCCCCCCACCCCCTCCACAGATGCCCCGGTGCACCCCCCTGTGCTGGAGCAGCACCCTTACGAGCACTGTGAGCCAAGCACCATGCCTGGGGACCTGGGCTTTGGGCTGCGCATGGTGCAAGGCGTGGTGCATGTCTACACCCACAGGGAACCTGATGAGCAGTAAGAGGGCTGGGCTGTGTGTTGGAGGAGGCTGTGTGGGAGGCTGCATTGGCTCAGGAAGGGGCCACGGCCTGGCTTGCTCTTCTCACCCAACTTCCCCTACATGCCAGTTGCTCAGAGCTGGAGCTGCCGTACCCCGACCTGCAGGAGTTTGTGGCTGACGTCAATGTGCTGATGGCCCTGATTATCAACGGCCCCATGTGAGCCCCGACCTGTCCTAGACAGTCAGCTACCCCTCACCAGACCAGATTCCCCAGCCCTGCCCCAGACACCTGTCAGCAGTCTCTTGTCCGTTTCTAGTCACTGAACCCTACTGCACCCACCCCCGCCCTCCGATCTGCTACCCAGGCCCACCCAAGTTACCTCACTTAGGGCCCTGACTCCCTGCCTGGTTCTCCCCCTGCCCAGAAAGTCGTTCTGCTACCGCCGGCTGCAGTACCTGAGCTCCAAGTTCCAGATGCACGTGTTACTCAACGAGATGAAGGAGCTGGCTGCCCAGAAGAAGGTGCCCCACCGGGATTTCTACAACATCCGCAAGGTGGGCCCTCACCCTGTGGCGTCTGTGTCCCCGACCCTGTGCCTTGCCCTCAGGGTCTTGGGCCCCCACCCAGCACCCAGTGTGGAGGGTCCTCTACCATCCTGCTGCCCCAGGGCCTGGACCTTCCCAGCCTTGGGTGGACTCGCAGCCCCTTGTTCCACCCAGGTGGACACGCACATCCACGCCTCATCCTGCATGAACCAGAAGCACCTGCTGCGCTTCATCAAGCGGGCGATGAAGCGGCACCTGGAGGAGATTGTGCATGTGGAGCAGGGCCGCGAGCAGACGCTTCGGGAAGTCTTCGAGAGCATGAACCTCACTGCCTACGACCTGAGTGTGGACACGCTCGACGTGCATGCGGTCTGTCCTGGTGCACAGGGGGCTGAGGGGCTGGGCCCACTCGAGTGTGGGGTGACTGAGGCCTGCCCGTCTCCCCCAGGACAGGAACACCTTCCATCGCTTTGACAAGTTCAATGCCAAGTACAACCCTATTGGGGAGTCTGTCCTCCGGGAGATCTTCATCAAGACCGACAACAGGATTTCTGGAAAGTACTTTGCTCACATCATCAAGGTAAGTAGAAGTGGCTGCCAGGGACCATTATGTACCAGAGGGACAGTGCTGGCCTGTGGGCAGCCTCCTTGACTGAGCTGAGAGCCTGAGTATCTGCGGGTTTGCACAAGGTTAGGGGGCTGGGTAAGATGCGTGGAGTTTTAAAAGACAAAACCAAAATGCCATTATCATATCCAACTAAAATAACAATCCCTGTGGATCACCTTATATCCATAATATGTTCAATTTTCTCTGTCTAAAAAATTTTTTTTTTGCAATTCTGACCATCCTGTCCAAGATGTCAATCCCGACCTCACCCTGCACTTCTGATATTATCTTGCTCTGCTTTTTCTTTTATCCATGACACTTACCAACTCTAACATGTTCATAATTTATATGTTTATTAACTGTCTCACTCCGTCAGAATGTACGCTTTGGGAGATCTGTTTTCTCTTTTTTTTCCTTCTTCATTCATGTATTCCAAGCACCCATCTGTCTTAGAGGTGGGATGGGGGAGAATAGGTGGACCAAAAATGGCAGAAAGTTGATGATATCTGAAACTTGTTTATGAGTATAGGAAGGTTTCTGGTACTATTTTTTGATACTTTTATATGTATTCTAAAATTTCTATAGTAAGAGTTAAACAAAAGGTACATAAAGAGGTCCTCCTGAGCACACATGGGGGGTGCGGAGACAGGCGGGCAGGAAGCTGAGTGTGACAGCTGCCCCACATGTGTCTTCCAGGAGGTGATGTCAGACCTGGAGGAAAGCAAATACCAGAATGCTGAGCTGCGGCTCTCCATCTACGGGCGCTCACGGGATGAGTGGGACAAGCTCGCGCGCTGGGCTGTGATGCACCGCGTGCACTCGCCCAACGTGCGCTGGCTCGTGCAGGTGCCTCGCCTCTTGTGAGTGTCCCTGGGGTGGGAGGGACATGGGGTGGAGAGTTCGTGGGCCAGGGCTTGCCTCCTGCCCTCCAGGGTGACCGCATAGAGAAGGGACCTCCCTGGTTCCACCATGGTCTGTCCAGCCTGGCCTCCCTGGAGTCCTCTTCCCAGCATGGTTCCAAAGTGGTTCCATGACCTCAGGCCACGCTCTGACCCTGCTGGCCTGTTGGTCTCTTCCCACTTGTCCTGACCTGCACGTGCACGTGTGCCTGTTTCTCGCCTGCAGTGACGTGTACCGGACCAAGGGCCAGCTGGCCAACTTCCAGGAGATGCTGGAGAACATCTTCTTGCCGCTTTTTGAGGCCACTGTGTACCCTGCCAGCCACCCGGAGCTGCACCTCTTCTTGGAGCATGTGAGTGGGCAGCACAGGGCCAGGGTATGGGGCTTTTGGCCAGCAGATCTGGGTCTGACCACAGGGTCCTGTGCCAGGTGGATGGCTTTGACAGTGTGGATGACGAGTCCAAGCCTGAGAACCACGTCTTCAACATGGAGAGCCCCCTCCCTGAGGCTTGGGTGGAGGAGGACAACCCACCCTACTCCTACTACCTGTACTACACCTTCGCCAACATGGCCATGCTGAACCACCTGCGCAGGTGCCTCCCCGCCTAGTGCTACGTCTCTTCTCCCTGTCTCACCCTCTCACCCAACAGACTTTGCTCTGGGCCTGACCTGGGCTGGGGCCACCAGAGCCCTGACCTCCCTTTTGTCCCCCTATCGGACTGGATGAGTTCTTTCTCTTCCCTTGGGTCTCCGTCCCTCACCCCTCACCACCAAGAACTACCCCTGCCCTCCTATGCCAAGCCCACACAGACACTGGCTGGAGGGCAGGCGTGCACTGGTGGGGGGGGTCCAGGAGCCCAGGCTCAGGAGCTGACCAGTCTTCATGCCCCCAGGCAGAGGGGCTTCCACACGTTTGTGTTGAGGCCGCACTGTGGGGAGGCCGGGCCCATCCACCACCTGGTGTCTGCCTTCATGCTGGCTGAGAACATCTCCCACGGGCTGCTGCTGCGCAAGGTCAGGGCTTGCACCCCAGCCCCCTGCCCAGTGGGCCACCTCCCCACTGAGCTCCCAGTTGGGATTCCCCCTCCCATTATAGCTAACCCTCCACACCACTTCCCGCCCCAGCCTCCAGACTGGGCCCCACCTCAGACTGTGGCTGTCACCGACCCCCTGCACGTCAGGCCCAGCCTGGGCTCCCCTCCCCCGCCTGTACTGTTGCCTGTATCCCCACACCCAGCATGTCCTTCCCAGCCTTGAGGCCGCCTTACAGGCCCTGCTGCTCTCTTGCCCGCCCAGGCCCCAGTCCTGCAGTACCTGTATTACCTGGCCCAGATTGGCATCGCCATGTCCCCGCTCAGTAACAACAGCCTCTTCCTCAGCTACCACCGGAACCCGCTACCTGAGTACCTGTCTCGCGGCCTCATGGTCTCGCTGTCCACTGACGACCCCCTGCAGTTTCACTTCACCAAGGTCAGAACCTGGTGGCAGCCAGGCAGGCAGGTGTCCTGGGACCTGCAGACCCCCAGCACTTCGGTCTCACAGGATTGGTGCTGCCCCCTGCTGGTGGAGTGCGGCAGACCAGTGGCCACGTGGCCATGTCTGCAAGTCCCATGGAGAGGAAGGGGTGGCTGGGCGGGGCCTTGGGGAGTCTGTCTGAGGGAGCCTGGCTTGTACAGGAACCACTGATGGAAGAGTACAGCATTGCCACCCAGGTGTGGAAGCTCAGCTCCTGCGACATGTGTGAGCTGGCCCGCAACAGCGTCCTCATGAGCGGCTTCTCCCATAAGGTACTGCATTTGCCCCGGGCCTGCCTGCACCTTGACGCATCTCTTTCCTCTGCATTCGGGAAGCTCCCTGGTATCTTGGCCCTGCCCCTGGGATGGCTCTGGGGTGAGGCATGGCCCTCAGAGCTGGCTGCAGCCTTGCCCATTCCCCCAACCGCCTCAGGTGAAGAGCCACTGGCTGGGACCCAACTACACCAAGGAAGGCCCTGAGGGCAATGACATCCGCCGCACCAACTTGCCGGACATTCGCGTGGGCTACCGCTACGAGACACTGTGCCAGGAGCTGGCCCTCATCACGCAGGCCGTCCAGAGTGAGATGCTGGAGACCATCCCAGAGGAGGCGGGCCTCACCCCTAGCCCGGGGCCTCAGTGAGCCTGGCCAAGCTGTTTCCACTGCATCTCAGCACCCTGACCACGTTTTTTTCTCAGACCTCTCCTGTCACATCGTGGTCTCTGCATGTCTTGGTTCTTCTCTGTTTTTGTCCTGCATGTCTGACCACATAGCTGGCCCTGTGCCACCCAGTGAAAGCAATGCCCAGGAATCTGCTTCTCCATTGTCTTGGCTCAGGCTGCATCTGATGGCCAAGGGTTTGAGGGCTGGCCCTGCTGGTGGACCTGCCCTAGGATCCTCTGAGGCCTGACTGTCCTGCGGGTGCCTCCAGTGGCCACAGGTGCCTGGCGAGGTTGTGGGAGCTGGCACCTGTACCCTTTGGGGTCCTGCCTGGGCACATCCAAGCTTTGGCCAGGGCCTACATTCAGGCCCCACCTTGTTTATGTGGCTTTTACTGTGGCCGAGAACTCAGCTGTAGCCCAAGCTGCCTGGTCCTGAGGGGAGGGAGGGACTCAGGCCTCAGAGTTGCTGAAGTTGCTGGAGCAGGACCTCCACACTTCCCAACCTCTGCCAAGTCACTGCCTCAGCCTTCTCTGTCCTTTCTGCAGTCCACGTGTTCCTCTGGTGTCGGCTTTCTGTGCCTCTGTGGGAGGGGGCAGCCGCCCTGTGCTATGTCTGGGACCATTGCGGCTGGGGGTCCTGGATCTGCCACTAGCCCTGGAGGTGGTACCCCTGGGATGGTCTCAGAGCTCTGGCCAGACCTGGATCCCGGCTGGTCCGACGTGTCGTATTCTGGGCCGAGGCTTTTGCTGTGAAATACAGTGTTTCATACAGTCCCATCTTTCCTACTGCATGAAAAATAAAGATTATTTAAGTAATGAGATGGGCTGGGTCTCTCTTGGGAGAGGGACAGCCATGGTTGGGGGCGGCTGGGGTCGGGGGCCAGGAGCATTTTGGATGGAGCCTTCAGTGAGGAGTGCCTGGGCTGGAGTGATAGTTGTTTGTACATGTGGCAACTGACCCAGGAAGCTGGGAGAGAGAAGATGCTGACGCCCTCATCCAGCCTGCCCCATCTTCGGGGACACTTGGCCCCAGGTCACACACATCCCTGTCACACAGCTTGGGGGATGGCATCCCCTTCCTTCCTTTATACTTCCCACTTCCAGCCCTTAGGACATCCTGGTAGATGTGGGGATATGCATTTACAAGCATACTTGAAGCCAGCAGTTCTCAAGCTTTGGGGACATCAGGATCTTCTGAGGTGCTTGTTCAAAATGCAGATTTCCAGGTCCTACCCCGGATTTAGTAGGTGGAGAGTGCTGCTGGGTGGTGCAGATGGTTAATGCACTTGGCTGTTAACTGAAAGGTTGATGGTTTGAGTTCCTTTGGAAGAAAAGCCTGACGATCTATTTCCAAAAGGTCACAGCCTTGAAAACCCTGCGGAGCACAGTTCTACTCTGACACACATGGGATTGCCATGAGTTGGAATCAATGGCAGCTGGTTAGGGGAGGGTATGGTGCAAACATCTGCAGGCTCTCCAGGAGATTCTATTGCAGGGGGTTGGAGCAAGCCTGTGCATTCTGAATGGAGCCTTAACCAACTTGGCTTCTGTCCCATGCTTAATACACAATTTCTGGAGCTCTTGCTTGGGCACAGAGGTTATGGGAGTCCATTGCCCTTGTAAAGAGGAAGGTGGGATGTTCCCTGTGCTGTGCAGGATTCTGGGTGGGCCACAGAGAAGCCTGTGGCCAGTGGCTGCTGCTGCTGAAGCCATCTGAAATCGCCTGCAGCTGTGGTGGGAAGAGACAGGTGACTGCTTCAGAAACAATTACCCTAGAACAGCGTGAGCCTGTGTGTAATTGAGGGCTGGGCGGGGGAGATATGGCGCAGGCTTCCCTCTCCCCTTCCACTCAAGCTGGCTCTACCCTAGCCCAGCCCGACTCTTAGGGCTTGGGAGCAAGTCTGCACCTGGCCCAATGCCTCCTCAGCAGATACCCTCGGTACCTTGGGCAGAAGCTCTCCCGATCCCCCTACCCTCCTGAAGGCTGCTAGCCAGGCCTCCCCCTGGCTGAGACCCAGGGTCAGTTTCCAAAAGGCCTCTCTTGCCAGTTCTAAAAAAAAAAAACCTGTTGCTGTCAAATCTGACTCATGGCGACCCTATGTGTTTCGACTAGAACTGGGTTTTCCACAGGGTTTTTCTTGGCTGTAATATTCAACAGCAGTCTTATGGAAGCAGATAGCCAGGCTTTTCTTCTGTGGCACCACTGGGTGGGTTCAAACAGCCAAACTTTCTGTTAATAACCAAGAGAAAAAGGTTTGTGCCACCTAGGGACCTGACTCATTGCCATGTAATTGATACCAACTCACGGCGACCCATTCTAGCCACTTACATACCATAGAACTGAATGATAGAGCTGGACAGTGAACGAGAGATTGAGCACCTCTGAGGTGAAAGTGGCCAGAGGGAGGACCTAGGCTGGAAGCCAGAGGAGCTCAGCGTCCAGCACCTCCCTCCCCCTGTAGGCCCAAGGATGAAGGGAACTTCACTTTTCAAGGAGGTGAATACATTTAATAATACAAGAGTGCTCTGTCTTCTTTTATGAAACAAGGAAGCAGGATTAGAAGATCTTTCTAGAAGGTCCTTTGAAGGGAAGAATTGCCTGTCCCCTTAGTCAGTACTTAGGACAGTAAGGGTGCCGTGTTTACTCACTGAATTTGTTTTTTAATAGAATCTCTTATTCCGTTATTTTTAGTCTCTTGTGCATTCTCAATGTGTTCTGAGGCTTAGCCGTAAGAATATTACGAACTTAAAAGAGTTTCTCAGCAACCTCTCCACTATTTGTTTTAACAACTTGATTCTGGTTTTAGTTTCTCAGAAACTTCTCTCTCAAACATGACAAAAGAATTTTAAAACCGTAAAGCCTTAATACTTTTTCCTATCTGAAAAGAAAATTATTAAAGAAATTTGGAAAATATAGAAAAATGGGAAAAAGAAAAAAATCCCCACTCATAATCTACCAATGTCACCAAATGTTTGTTAATCACCTACTGCATACCTGAGATAAATTTACTATTTATTTTGATATATACTCCTTCTGGTCTTTTTTCTTTTTTTCACTTTTTTTTTTAATTGTACTTCAGGTGATGGTTTACAGAACAAATAGTTTCTCATTAAACAGTAGTACACATATTGCTTTATGACATTGGTTAACAAAACCACGACATGTCAACCCTCTCCCTTCTCGAACATTTTTTTTTTTTGGTGAAAATATACATAGCCAAAGACACACCATTTCAAAAATTTCTACATGCACAGTTCAGCGCCATCGACTACCCTCTTCCAATTGTGCTGCTCTTCTCACTTTAGATGAACGTTTACAGAACAAAATAGTTTCTCATTAAACAGTTAGTCCACATGTTGCCCTATGACAATGGTTAACAACCTCACTACACATCAACACTATCCTTACTCAACCTTGGGTTCCCTATCACCAGCTTCCCTGTCCCCTTCTGCCTTCTAGCCCTTGTCCCTGGACTGCTGTGCCTCATTAGTCCCGTTTTATGGGGCTGTCCCATCCCTGGCTGAATGGTGAACCTCGGGAGTGACTTCATCACTGAGCTAAAAGGGTGTCTGGGGGCCATACTCCCGGGGTTTCTCCAGTCTCCTTTAGGCCAGTAAATCTGGTCTTTTTTGTGTGTGTTAGAATTTTGTTCTAAATCCTTCTCCAGCTCTGTCCAGAACCCTCTGTTGTGATCCCAGTCAGAGCAGTCAGTGGTGGTAGCCAGGTACCATCTAGCTGTACTGGACCCAGTCTGGTGGAGGCCTTGGTAGCTGTGGTCCATTAGTCCTTTGGACTGATCTTTTCCTTGTATCTTGTTCTCTTCATTCTCCCTTGCTCCCAGAGGGGTGAGACCAGTGGAGTATCTTAGATGGCTGCTCACAGGCTTTTAAGACCCCAGACACTACTCACCAAGGTAGACTGTAGAACATTGTCTTTATAAACTGTGTTATGCCCATTGAGCTAGATGTTCCCCGAGACCACGGTCCCCACAGCTTCTGGTCTTTTTTAAAAAGGGCACTCTTAAGAGTTGAGATCATATTGTATGTATAATTTTGTGGTTTTAAAATCATTTCCACATTTCATATTTCATTAAAATACTCCTTGCAAATATGCAATTTAATTACTGTGCACGGTCTCATTGTGAACCTCACTGTAATTTGCCATCACAGCACTTCTCTGTTAAGAATAACTATGGGCTAATGTGGCTAACAGTGTCAGCTCTGGAGCCAGACCACCTGGGTTTGAATTTTGGCTCCAACTCTCTGGCTGTGTGACCTTGGGCAAGTTGCTTCCCCTCTCTGTGCCTCCGGCTTCTCACTTATTTCATGGGAATAATAATAGCATGTTCCTGATAAGGTTGATTTTGGATTCTTTCAATCACTGGGTATAAAGCACTAAGAAAGCTCTCAATAAATATTAGCTATCATTAACTTTGTTTATAAGATTTACAGATTATTACCCTAGCCTAGCTGCCCACAAGGAGCCCTGGTGGCTCAATGGTTAAGCGTTTGGCTGCTAACCCAAAGTTTGGCTGTTTGAACCCACCCAGTGGGTCTGCGGGAGAAAAACCTGGTGACGTGCTCCATTAAGGATTACAGTTTAGGAAACCCTATGGGGTAGTTCTACCCTGTCACATGGAGTCACTGTGAGTCGGAAATGACTTGACAGCAGCCAACAACAATAGTTGCCCATGAGTGAAATTACCAGGTCCAAAATATAAATTTTTTATGGTTCTTGATAGAAATGAATCAGCCCTGGTGTGCCCCATTTCCTGTTATCTCCTGTCCCCTAAGCAGGCTGGGCCGATTCAGAGCATCTGCTCTGCTGTAAACAGATTTAAAGTTGTTTCTTTCATTGCCCTGCCCCTGCCGTCCTCTAATCTCCTTCTCTTTTTTGGAATCATGCTCCTTCCTGTGGTCTTCCTGGAAGGTGTGTGTAGACTTCTTTGTAAAAGACGGAGGGAGTCTGAACAACCAGTTTGCTTTAAAACGCCCCCAAACGGAGCACAACAAATCAGGCAAACAAACCTGTTCCCTTGAGTCTGCCCTGTGGAGCCAGCCCTGAGCAAGATCTACACCAGGGACTGTCCCCAGTCAGTTACAAAACATCCTATATGAAGTGGGATTGAGGGCACATTTGCAGGCCACCCTCCCCACCCCCTCACCCCCCACTGGCTCACCTCCCCAAACCACCTCCTGGGGGAGTAGCGGGGAGCAGGTGGGAAGCTGGCAGTGTCCCCCAGACTTGGGGTGGGGTGCTTGGCTAGGATGACAGTGATCCTGATTTCCAAATCTCACATCAGAGCATTCACCCCATCAAGGTATTATGTCATTTGTAAATTATTTCTAGGAAACTCCATAAAAGGTTTAAACCCCATTTAATCTGACACATCGCTTTTATTCAAAATGAGAACATAGTTGCCCCAGATCAG